CTTATTTTTCAAACACCTCCACAAATAAGCTCTATTTACAGAATCAAATGCCTTTTTAAAATCAACAAAGGCCACATACAACTTACGTTTCCTGTACGATAAATATTTCTCAATGACTGCATACAAAGTAAATATGTGGTCAAAAGTCGAATAGTCCTTTCTAAATCCCGCTTGTGTTTCAGGGATCAAATCTCTCATATCTGACCACTGTGTTAATCTATTATTGATGATAGATGTAAATGCTTTACTAAGGATACTCGTGAGAGATATACCCCGATAATTGTCAGGATTGTTTACGTTTCCATTCTTGAATAACGGAATAATAATAGATTTTGACCAGATAGAAGGAAAAATACCTGTATCAAAAATCCGATTGAAACATTTAACCAGAAAAGGCATAGTATCAGGTAGTGAGTACTTGAGCATTTCAGCTATAACACAATCAATCCCAGCAGATTTACCTGTTTTAAGGTGAGATATAGCATTAAATATTTCCGTTTCCGTGATAGGCGATGCCAACAGAAGCATGTCAACATCACTAAGAATTTCACTGACGCCATCATCATCACGTTCAAAGCACTCATTGTCTACCAAATATATCGAATCATCTTTTGAGAATAACTTCTTGAAATGATGTAACCATTCTGTTGGGGATATAGATCCTTTGGGGGTAGGATGTCTCTGAAGAGAACGTATAGTATTCCAAAATAATTTCGGACTGTGTTAAGTGCTGTTTAGTCGGACTAGCCGTGACAATTTAAGATCATATTTGAACTTTCTACAAAAGTTTTTATACACATTTCTCAGTTTACAGTAGCGTTGTCGGTTGTATTCACTGCGACAACACCTATACCTTCTGAGAGCCTTCATTGAATCAGATCTTGCTGCCCTACATGCTATATTCAACTTTGGTTTATCGTGTTTATTTTCACCATATTTGATCTGTTTCCTCATACAGGACGCCGAGTCTAGGACATACTGTACCAAATATGTAATCCCCTCCTCTACATTAGCTTCAATTTTATCCATCAAGGAATTTTCATAAATATGCAAGGACCATCTAAGTGCTGTGATAAAAATGCTTTTCTTCGATTCGTTCCATGAAAATGTACTGTTCATAGAGACACCATCCTCACAGTCTAAACTATGTATGGCACGATTGCTTCAAGGAAACCTGCAGGATAACTCAAGAGGGAAATGGTCTGAATCTGATCGATCACCAACATTTAACATATCTAAATACTGGAAAAAATCAGCAGATGCAATAAAATAATCAACAACACTAGAACCAGTATGTCCTACAAAAGTAAACTCGCCTGCACTATCACCATAAACTCTCCCATTTAGTATAAACATACGAAGTACAAAGCATAGATTCAATAAAATGCGTCCGAATCTATTGATAGTACCATCGTGCGATACACGTTGTTCAACAGGGGCATTGTCAACATCAATGTATACATCATCATGTCCAAAGTCATCACTTTCCTCAGAAATGGGATTATTTTCGTTGCCTGTGCGGGCATTAAAATCACCACAGAGTAGCACATGTGAAGAAGTGAAATCAGACCAATGCTCCAATATAAAAGCTTCCACTTTATCAATAAGGCAACCTGAATCAGTTCTCCCTTTGTAAAATGTTGAACCTGCCAGAGGGACATATGTACACAACAACATTAAATCACATTTCAAATTAAACACAGATTTTGGAAATTTTAAACATATGAAATTTTCTATGTCGGTGCTAAGGTGAATGCACATGTTCACAACATCTTGCCTAACGCAGAGACACACACCACCAGAACATCTACCTGACAATGATGTTTTAACTGCTGGGGCAAAGTACATTTGGTAACCAGGTAACCAGTTTAAGTCTGGGAAATCTGATATAAATGTCTCCAAGAGACACACAATATCAAATGATTGGAGGTAGGCAATAAAGTCACAATCATCAAACATTTTACGAAGGCCACAAATGTTCCAGGACAACAATGACAAATGTTTATCGTTACCGGTGTTATTTCCATTCTGTGTCGAATACTGGCCCTGGCCGGATTGTTATCTCTTATGGTAGCCACCACGCTTTGAGGTACTCCTCAATTGTCGTTTGGAGCTCTCAGATTTGTGTGTGTCTTGGTTATGTTCATCATTTCGTGGTTTAGTTAACAGCTTACCATTTTTAAAATATCCAATCAGTCCTCTATCTTTCACGGCTTTAAGTTGTTCGCGTTGGCGGATAGTGAAGTCACTTGAGACTCCATAACCGATATTCTTGAGTGTTGGTCGAGCTTTCAATACTTCAATCTTGTCATCAGACAGCCGTAATTTAGCAATTAGCGGTCTTGGTTTAGAGGTATCCTCACGCTGGGCGCCGAGTCGATGTACACGGATGACGTCATCACTAACCCATGTCTTGGTCTGAACATTGCTGTTCAAGATGTCTAGTACCTTGACCTTGCAATCAGCGTGCGTCTCCCCTGTTTCCTCTGTCACGTTATAGAGGATAACGTTGTCACGCCTGCTAAATGCCTCTAGCTTGTCGATCTCGCCGTCGAACTGTGCTAATTTCTCTTCCACGTTTTCCATCTTACCGGAGATCAAACCAACGCCCTCGTACATTATGCTCTGGTTGTGTTGTACAGTTTCCATGTCACTCTGGAGTTTGGTCATCTTTGATTCAATGTTATGAAATCTGGTGCTCAGATCTCGAACCTCATTTGATAGTGTGGTTATCTGACTTCCGAGATCACATTTCACGCACTTGATTTCCTTCAAAATGGTATCTTTGACTTCTGCTAAGGTAAGTGGTCCGGGATTCATTTCGATGTCATTTGCACACAAGATTCTATGTGTTATTACCTCAGCGGGCAGTGGATTTCCACCTAAAAGGCAAGCGACTGGAGCACATGAAGATTGAGATGGCCAAGCTGACCATTCAGTTTTAGATGATGTGACGTCACTGGTGAAAACAAGGTCACAAACATGCTCTTTTGGTAAATATGAATACACATCAACATTTTCACATGCGTTCAAAACAGCATAGCTTAAACCAATATGCAAGATAAACACAGCTGCACATACAACGATTCTGAAGTGTATATCAGACCCAACGACAGTCGGTGAATACTCGCCATGTTTGTCAAGTGTTACTTGCCGGGTGCCTTTTGGTTGAGTGAAAAGTCCAATTCTTGCTCTATAGACGTCGATCGAAACCATTTCTTGTCTTACTTCGGTCCCTGGTATTATGTCAAAAGCTTATTTCAACTTCAATTCTGTCAATTTCGGCCATAATACGACATTCAGGTTACTCTTCCAACCCATATAGTCACACCACAGCTTCTGCATCAGCCCGCTCCTCCAACCCACGTAGTCACAACACAGCTTCTGCATCAGCCCACTCCTCCAAACCCATGTAGTCACACCACAGCTTCTGCATCAGCCCGCTCCTCCAACCCACGTAGTCACAACACAGCTTCTGCATCAGCCCACTCCTCCAACCCACGTAGTCACACCACAGCTTCTGCATCACAGCCCACTCCTCCAAACCCATATAGTCACACCACAGCTTCTACATTAGCCCACTCCTTAATCCCACATAGTCTCACCACAGCTTCTGCATCACAGCCCACTCCTCCAACCCATATAGTCACACCACAGCTTCTGCATCAGCCCACTCCTCCAACCCATGTAGTCACACCACAGCTTCTGCATCAGCCCACTCCTCAAAACCCATATAGTCACACCACAGCTTCTACATCAGCCCACTCCTCAATCCTACATAGTCTCACCACAGCATCAGCCCCGCTCCTCCAGTCAATCTTATCATGTCTCTGCTAACGCATCAGTCCCCGCTCCTCCAGCCAATCTTATCATGTCTCTCCTTTCACATCAGTCCCCGCTCCTCCAGTCAATCGCCACACATCGCACCTTTAGCATCAGTCCCGGCTCCTCCAGTCAATCGTTACACATCGCACCTTTAGCATCAGTCCCGGCTCCTCCAGTCAATCGTAACACACCGCACCTTTAGCATCAGTCCCCGCTCCTCCAGTCAATCGTTACACATCGCACCTTTAGCATCAGTCCGTGCTCCTCAAGTCAATCGTTACACACCGCACCTTTAGCATCAGTCCCCGCTCCTCCAGTCAATCGTAACACATCGCACCTTTCACATCAGCCCCTGCTCCTCCAGCCAATCTAATTAAGTCTCACCTTCTGTATAAGCCCCCACTCCTCTAGCCAATCTAATCAAGTCTCACCTTCTGTATAAACCTCCTATCCTCTAGCAAATCTAATCAAGTCTCACCTCTGTATAAGCCCCCATTCCTCCAGCCAATCTAATCAAGTCTCACCTTCTGTATAAGCCTCCACTCCTCCAGCCAATCTAAAGTCTCACCTTCTGTATAAGCCCCCACTCCTCCAGCCAATCTAATCAAGTCTCACCTTCTGTATAAGCCTCCACTCCTCTAGCCAATCTAATCAAGTCTCACCTTCTGTATAAACCCCCACTCCTCTAGCAAATCTAATCAAGTCTCACCTCTGTATAAGCCCCCACTCCTCTAGCCAATCTAATCAAGTCTCACCTTCTGTATAAGCCCCCACTCTTCCAGCCAATCTAATCAAGTCTCACCTTCTGTATAAGCCCCCACTACTCCAACCAATCTAAAGTCTCACCTTCTGTATAAGCCCCCACTCCTCCAGCCAATCTAATCAAGTCTCACCTTCTGTATAAGCCTCCACTCCTCTAGCCAATCTAATCAAGTCTCACCTTCTGTATAAGCCCCCCCTCCTCAAGCCAATCTAATCAAGTCTCACCTTCCGTATAAGCCCCCATTCCTCCAGCCAATCTAATCAAGTCTCACCTTCTGTATAAGCCCCCGCTCCTCTAGCCAATCTAATCAAGTCTCACCTTCTGTATAAGCCCCCACTCCTACAGCCAATCTAATCAAGTCTCACCTTCTGTATAAGCCCCCACTCCTCTAGCCAATCTAATCAAGTCTCACATTCTGCATCAGCCCCACGATCCTCTCCACCTCGTGAAGTCCTATCTGGTGAACACTCTCTGGGCTCATGTCTGTTGACAGATGCCAACCAAGAAAGGTCTTGTAATAGTCCAATCCGAAGAGAAGGGACCACACACACCATTTTGGTCTCGTGTTTGGGATATATTCCTACAGGAACAAATATCAAGATCGTTACAATTTCAATGTCGTAACATACAATAATCTTCGAACAGTTCATAGGAAATGATATATTTTATGACTGCTCACAAGTCACAGACGGTAGAGAAAACTCACTTTTTCCAAGAATGTCTTCCAGACAAGGGCTGCTCTGAGTACACCTTGGATTGCAACGTGTGCCCTGTCTCTTAATTCCCTTCTGCGAAAACAAAGAAAGTTCGTTTGGACATATCTTCTACACATAGTTTACGCATTCAGCTCGGAGGCCACAGGCCCAGTTTTCAGTACATGATGAACAATGTTACATTGAATGAAATGGAGCCGCAGCTTCAGCGAAAATAATTAACGATTCACGTTTCTTAGAAAGCTGAAAATACATTTTTAGATGGACAGTTGATAATTTGTGGATTTTGTGATTTACAAAGTTTTATGAATTTCTCACAAGTAGGGTTGTTAAAAAATAACAAGGAATTGTTTCTCTCAGTTCATTATAAAAGGACATTCTTGAAAAAAATGGTGCTCTGTTTCATCAACAGGAAAAATGCATAGAGGACAATATCTTTCATTGCGTATTGTAGTCAGTGCTCTTCCCATTTCAACAATACGAGAGTGTCCTGAGCTTCTGAAAATCGAGGTTTAATAGAGCGAAAGAAATCGCGATTAGAAATAACGCATATGTTGTTTTTTTAAATTTGTTTTGCTTATCAATATCAATGCACGTTTGTTTTAAAATGGAAAAAAATTCAGAGGTTATATTATTTTGATTATCCCACATAAAACTATAATTATATAGCAACTCTTTTACATATAATGCCCAGCATTTAATGCATTAACTAGTGAGATTACGATGATATAAGTTCTGCCTCGTGTGTAATGTGATTTTCAGTTTGAGCAACATGTCTTATCCAAAATGATATTGTTTTCATAGGTTGCCTGACTTTTATGGAGTATCTTTATGGAGTAATTTATATCTATTGCAATAATCAACTATTTTTATTAAATCGTGCTCGCATTCCCTCCCCCCCCCCCCCCCCCCCCCCCCCCCCCCAAATCATCAATTTTAATATAATTCAGATGGATAAATGTATACTAGATAAGATCATTGACAAGCACTTGACTTACTTGACTTGTATAGCTATTGGCAGTTCTTCGAGAAGTGCTGTGAATGGTTGGTAGAAGGCCGACTGTTCTGGGTCCACAAGCAGCCGCTCTATCTGCCCCGGCACACGATCCTGCAGGCAAATCCAGGAATTCTACACTCATGTCTGCACTTCCTTGTTCGACTGATCACAAATATACGTGTACATAGTTTACTATCAGTGCCTTGGACGAGAGAGATATAAAGAGTATACTCCATGTGTCTCGTGAAACATCCTATTTATTATATAATTTTTGTGTTGAAATTGTTTTGTTATTACAAATGTAAAACCTTGTTACGTAAATTCTCCCTACCTAACAAACAGGGGTGTTTCACCACTCCTTGTAATTGCTACTTAAAAAGTAGTTCCTAGTTTGCAAAATCTTTCAAAAGATTAACAAAAATAAAAGCGTCTTCAAAACATATATTCTTGAAATCAACGAGACAGCTGTTGGAAGCTAAAGAATACACGCTAGTCAAGTAACAAAAATGGACCTTTGCGAAACGAACAGTTTCGATTGACGAGTTAAATGAGAAATTTACAGTTTATAACAAAACATTTTCAAGGGAAAGAACAAACAGCAGGAAGCGATATTAAGTTCATAAATGATCATCTGTCTTTATTTTGCCTCGTCAATGTGGAACTGACGTAAAGAGAAAATCAAATTTGTGTACGAGCCAGACACTTACGATAAAGGGAGACAATTTGCGGGGAGATAACTCTTGTATGACAATAGTTCCGCCAAAGTGTTATGTTCACTGTAATGCAAATATCACTTTTCTCAACAAAACACATTCTTTCACACTATATTATATAATAAAGCTTACATCTTAACTATTATTTTCAAATGATAATAATTGTACTTGCCACTGACGCGTTGTGTGATGTTCGGTTTATTGTCATTGCTGTTCTGTACAGCTCTTTATACTGGCTGAGCTGTAAAACACGATAGTCCACGTATGTTGAATTCAGCTTGATGGTAATACATGACATAAACTCTTCATCAGAACTGTGCACAATCGATACACGTGCATTAAGGGGAGAAAATGCTTCAACATCGATAATAATTATAACAGCTGCAAGAAGTTCATTCATTTGAAAACCTTGTGTTCATCGTATTATAAAGAATCTAAATATAACAAAAGATGTGAGCCACCAGGAGAACAAGGGACCTTATGACTGCTAGGATATACAACTGTGCTTTGACGACATAAAAACATTTGACGTCAACTTACTTCAGTGAAGATCGCCATGTGTGATGTCAGGTATCTTTGAAGCTTCTGATTTGTATGTTTTGTGTTCCGAGAGATGCTGTAGTTTTAAAATATACTGAAACGTCGAAATATGATTTTTCACCCATAACATATCCTGGTTGGTCACAATTATGTTTTCAATAAAGGTAGTGACGAAAAGAAAACAAACATTGTTATACGACTATAACCACGACAACAAACCTGGAATGGAATGTTGTGAAGACGTGCGATGAAGTTCTCATAGTCCCCGCGTGTGAGGAAGGGCGTGGTCTGCACGTCGTGGACCGGGTCCAGGTGTAAACTCTCCAGGAAGTTCGCAGGGTTCAGCAACCCGAATCTGTGGTTGGAACGTTTCACGTGAAAATAATCCTCACTGGATTTTGTTTTGCCTGCATATATAAATATGTCTTCTCGGTAACGACCATGGATTATACAAATGAACGACAAGTATTTGTATGTTCAACTCTCATTTTTGGAGCAGTGACCAAGTCGGGGAACTGAAAATGCGACCATGCAAGTTTCATGTGATTATCCTTTCAATAGAGTGCTTGCAGATTGCTCTGAGATGGTCAGAGGCCGGTTCACTTCAGCTAGTCACTTTTATCTTACCTACATTAAAATACTAGCTGATTGGTTACGGAAAGGGCAACTATATATTTCCCATGTAGTCAGCTGTGAAATCAATCGGAACACGCCTAAGGTAACTTGCTCATCTGGCATAAGTATTGTTGAGTTGCTGAAATGAACCGATGTGTATCCGTACGCATAGGGCAAACGGAAGTAACACGTTTCGTTTGCGTCACCTGATGTGAGTTTAACTTAGAGCACATGCAATGGGTTTTCAGGTATTTAAATAAAATATGAACATTTTTTGGACGCTCATCTTGTAACAAATTAATGAATTGTACCAAACTTGCAAATCTACTTAATATTCAGATACATATCAAAATAGTATATTATCGTGGACTAAAATTATATTTACCTCTTCACCACCAATTGAGAAGTTTCAGCTAATATTTCACAATACGAATCAATCTAACAATCCATGATGAAAGCACACCCATTTCACACAAAAAACAAAGGCTGACGGCGTTAATCTTCTTACTCTAAATATTTGTTTAATAAACTTCAAGTTCACACTTTCTCACACCCGTATCTTAGTATTGGTATTATTAATGACTTGAAAAGATGAAATTGTTGTGCTAGAGATATATATGGATGGGAAGTAGGTATTCGTCGCGGAGAAGACACAGCTTTATTTGCCTGTTCTGTTAAGGCCAGAAACTACCACCTGAAGAATGAACTAACCCTAAATACTTACAACTACTAACAGTTTCTGATAGCTTATCTTCACAACACCAAACTACCACCTGAAGAATGAACTAACTCTAAATACTTACAACTACTAACAGTTTCTAATAGCTTATCTTCACAACACCAAACCTCCTTTCTTGCCAGTCTGCCAGCCTTCCTAAATATTACCACGTTGGTCTTGTCATTATTAACATTGCTACCCATTTTGTATAACACTGTTGAAGCAAATTTACTCAACTTCGTAAACCACTAATCTATTGACTGAACAAAGCCATATAATCGTCGAATAGAAACAACAATAAACTGGTATAGGAAACAGTTGTCCCAGCACACAGATAGTAAAATTACAAACAACGTGAGTGTTACTATATTGAGATTATTTCTTCCAAAACTGCTTTGTGTTCTCCCTGCTTAATGATGATAACTCTTCAGCCTTCTCTCTACTTGATGATGAGAACGCTTTAGCCTTCTCTCTACTTAATGATAACTCTTCAGCCTTCTCTCTACTTGATGATGAGAACGCTTTAGCCTTCTCTCTACTTAATGATAACTCTTCAGCCTTCTCTCTACTTGATGATGATACGCTTTAGCCTTCTCTCTACTTAATGATAACTCTTCAGCCTTCTCTCTACTTAATGATAACTCTTCAGCCTTCTCTCTACTTGATGATGAGAACGCTTTAGCCTTCTCTCTACTTAATGATAACTCTTCAGCCTTCTCTCTACTTGATGATGATACGCTTTAGCCTTCTCTCTACTTAATGATAACTCTTCAGCCTTCTCTCTACTTAATGATAACTCTTCAGCCTTCTCTCTACTTGATGATGAGAACGCTTTAGCCTTCTCTCTACTTAATGATAACTCTTCAGCCTTCTCTCTACTTGATGATGATACGCTTTAGCCTTCTCTCTACTTATTAATGATACAGCTTTAACTTTCTCTATACTTAATGATGACTCTTCAGCCTTCTCTCTACTTGATGATGATTACGCTTTAGCCTTCTCTCTCCATAATGCTGTTAATTCTTTCGACTACTCTCTACTTAATGATTACTCTTCAGCCTCTTTAACATTCTCTCTAATATACAGACACGATTACTGTTGTGTTGTGGACAGGGTGTCGTTGAATATACAGATGCATATTACTGTTGTGTTGGGGACGGGATACCCATGAATATACAGATATACATTACGGTTGTGTTGGGGACGGGATACCCATGAATATACAGATATACATTACGGTTGTGTTTGGGACGGGATACCCTTGAATATGCAGATGCACATTACTGTTTTGTTGGTGACGGGATACCTTTGAATATACAGTTACACATCACTGTTGTGATGGGGACGGGATATCGTTGAATATACAGGATACACATTATTGTTGTGATGGAGACGGGATACCCTAGAATATAGATATATACATTACGGTTGTGTTGGGGACGGGATACCCTTGAATATGCAGATGCACATTAATGTTGTGTTTCTGACGGGATACCTTTGAATATACCGTTACACATCACTGTTGTGATGGGGACGGGATGTCGTTGAATATACAGATACATATCACTGTTGTGTTGGGGACGGGATGTCGTTGAATATACAGATATACATTACTGTTGTATGAGGTACGGTATTTCCAAGAATGTGCAAAGGTACAATTTGATGTTTGACAAGCCAACCTGCTCCACTTGAAGCCTTTTACGTAGGTGGTCAACACAGCCTTGAAGATCCTGTAGTTGATCACGTCCGAGTCACCCAACTCGGCTGGGTCTATCTGCTCAAGGTCCACTAGGAAGCTGTTCGCTTTATCCTGGAACATTTGATGTTGTGACGTCAAAGACATACAATGGTTCATTGATGGTAAACAGATTTAGTATTAGGAGCGTGGGGGACGGAAGACCAGGTTGAAGCATTAATTCAGAATGTGTGAGCTAGCAAAAGACATGGGATGCCTCCACTTACACGTCTCTCGATCATCTGTGATATATTGAACGACTGGAGCCTGTCATTGAAGTGGTACGTCCCCACGAAGGTGACAAGCTGCTTGGAGTCGGCCAAGCGCCAGGCGTAGAAGTCCTTGAAGAGGGTGTTGAGGACGGAACCGGTATCGCCTGAACACACATACACAAAGTAGTGATGTCGGATCATTAACAGCTTAAATCAGCGCAAGTTTTTGAGTATCAAGTAGAGCAACCATGGATCTGGGTATGCCAAAGACATTTATAAAAAACAGTTAATGAGGCAGAGGTTCATATATTATATCCGCCTCGCTATCTATATACTACACTGCTACAATGCCACAGCGTCAACGTGTCCCACAATTAGGCCATCACACCATCACATTGTCACATTGTCACATTGCCCCCTTGTGTCACACTATCATACTCACACACTACCCCACTACCCATTGTTACCCTACCACACTACCACACTGCCGTACTACAACACTGTCACACTACGACACTACCACATTGCCACACTGTCACACTACCAAAAAACAACACTATCACACTGTCACACCACCACGCTGTCAGACTACCACACTATCACACTGTCACAATACCAAACTATCACACAACCACACTGTCACACTACCACACTATTGCACTACCACAATGCCACAATGGCACACTGTCACACTACCACAGTACTACACTGCCACACTACCACACTGTCACACTACGACAGTACCACACTGTCACACTACCACACTATCACACCACAACACTGCCACATTACCACACTGTCACACTGCCACACTACCTCACTGTCACAATACCAAACTATCACACAACCACACTGTCGCACTACCACACTATTGCACTGCCACAATGCCACAATGCCACAATGGCACACTGTCACACTACCAGAGTACTACACTGCCACACTACCACATTGTCATACTACGACAGTACCACACTGTCACACTACCACACTATCACACCACAACATTGCCACACTACCACACTGTCACACTGCCACGCTACCACACTGTCACACTGCCACACTGTCACACTGCCACGCTACCACACTGTCACACGACCACAGTACCACACTGTCACACTATCACACTACCACACTGTCAGACAAACACACTGTCACACAACCACACTCACATCACTACAGTGTCACACTACCACACTGTCACACCACCACACTGTCACACTACCACACTGTCACGCCGCCACACTACAAGACTGAAACACCACCACACTGTCACACTACCACAGTACCACACTCTCACACTACCACACTATCACACTACCACACTGTCACACAACCACACTCACATCACTACAGTGTTACATGACCGCACTGTCACACTACCACACTCTCACGCCGCCAAACTACAAGACTGTAACACTACCACACTGTCACACTAACACAGTACTACTCTCACACTACCACACTGCCATACACCCACACTGACACACTACAACACTGTCACATCACAACACTACCACACTACCACACCGCCACACTACAACACTACTACACTGTCACCTTGTCACACTGACACACAGCCACACTGTCATACTACAAATTGTACCACACTGTCATACAACCACACTGTCACACTACCACACTGTCATACTACCACACTGTCATACTACCACACTGTTACACTACCACACTGTCACACCGCCACACTGCCACACTGTCACACTACCGCACTGTCACACTGTCACACTGCCACACTGTCATACTACCGCACTGTCACACTACCACACTGTCACACTACCACACTGTCATACTACCACACTGTCACACTACCACACTGTCATACTACCACACTGTCATACTACCACACTGTCACACTACCGCACTGTCATACTACCACACTGTCACACTACCACACTGTCACACTACCGCACAGTCATACTACCACACTGTCACACTACCACACTGTCATACTACCATACTGTCATACTGCCACACTGTCACACTACCACACTGTCATACTACCACACTGTCACACTACCACACTGTCATACTACCACACTGTCACACTACCGCACTGCCACACTACCACACTGTCACACTACCACACTGTCATACTACCACACTGTCACACTACCACACTGTCATACTACCACACTGTCATACTACCACACTGTCATACTACCACACTGTCACACTACCACACTGTCACACTACCGCACTGTCATACTACCACACTGTCACACTACCACACTGTCATACTACCACACTGTCATACTACCACACTGTCACACTACCGCACTGTCATACTACCACACTGTCACACTACCACACTGTCATACTGCCACACTGTCATACTACCACACTGTCATACTACCACACTGTCACACTACCGCACTGTCATACTACCACACTGTCACACTACCACACTGTCACACTACCGCACTGTCATACTACCACACTGTCACACTACCACACTGTCATACTACCACACTGTCATACTACCACACTGTCACACTACCACACTGTCATACTACCACACTGTCACACTACCACACTGTCATACTACCACACTGTCACACTACCACACTGTCATACTACCACACTGTCACACTACCACACTGTCATACTACCACACTGTCATACTACCACACTGCCACACTACCACACTGTCATACTACCATACTGTCATACTACCACACTGTCACACCACCACACTGTCACACCACCACACTGCCACACTACCACACTGTCATACTACCATACTGTCATACTACCACACTGTCACACCACCACACTGTCACACCACCACACTGCCACACTACCACACTGTCATACTACCATACTGTCATACTACCATACTGTCATACTACCACACTGTCACACCACCACACTGTCACACCACCACACTGTCACACCACCACACTGTCACACCACCACACTGTCACACCATCACACTGTCACACCGTCTTCCCGCTACTCACCTCGAATGTGCGTGTACTGGGTGAGGACAGACACCAGCAGGACAGACAGCAGTCTGTAAGGGAACAACAGTACATTGAATCAACTGAGCTCAAGACATTATTTAGACAAAATCCTCTTCCACATTGTTACACTTTTGCCGAAGATGTTGGTGAGATTTAATCCCACTTTAGTCCTTATGTTGGATGTCCAAAACGTTATCCACAGCTGTATTAATATCATAGTCAGAGTCGCATTGGGACATTGACCTGGTGGAGAAACACGCTTTTTCTCAGGTGCCCCGCGTCTCTGTCTGTTAGGATTAAGCCCTTTTTCTTCAAGTACTTGATCCCTGCGTATTTTACTGACTTGTCACCGCGAAACAATTTACTTAATTGACCCACATTTTTGTGATTTACATTTCTGACATCATGGGATGGGATGGCTGGGATGTTGTAACAGTTTACTTAATTGACCCACATTTTAGTGATTTACATTTCTGACATCATGGGATGGGATGGCTGGGATGTTGTATTGAAATTAGTTTTATTTTCAGCTACAAAACCAGGTATCGTTTTTATTCAGAACTATGAGTCTGAATATTTTTAAAAAGAAAAACACCTTGCAACAATGTAATGTGTGGGAGGCAATTTCTTTTACTTTTTACAGTCTGAAGCATAATTATTTTTTAAAGAATTTTCGGGGACCCCGAATATCGAATGGTCAATGTTCCCGATCTCTCTCCCTCGATTTGTTTCCTTCAATCACCGGGGCAGTAAGTCATCCTTCCTCGAAACCCAGCTATACTAGGAACAATTATTAAAGGGACACCAACATTATTCACAAATGATCTGTAAAGAAATGACGTTTAGGAATTCAAACTTCATGGTACAGTCAATATCTGGGTCATACTGGATATCTAACGGTGAATGTCTTCCGTTGTATTCTTCGTCATTCTTCCTGTAGGACGTGCCAAGGCTGCTGCCAGTTCTGTGTACCCTGAGGTCGGTTGTGAACCCTTCGGCAGAGAACACCCAAAAGGTGTTCAATGGGTGACATGTCTGGAGATGTTGTGACACCTTGTTGTCACGGACAGTGGACTGGAACACGAGCAGTGGGGACGTGTGCATTGTCATGAAGACAATGACCATTCGACGTGACACTTGGTCCACATACCGATGACCAGTCAAGTTCCCTGATCCATCAGATCAGTCCTGATGCTGCCTGTTGATGCTGCCACCGCCGTGCCTATCGTGCTCATGGACTCCTGTCTGATATTACCTCTCTACACGCCGTCTCCAAACACGTTGTCTACCTCTGTAAAGCGTAAACAAAACTTCGATTCATCAGAAAACATGGGGAATCTCCGATACCGCTGTTGACAATCTCCAAACTGCTGTGCCCACTGTTGGCTGAGGCGCCCTTGTCACAGTCAGACGCATTCCTGTGGAAGAACGTCTTGATTGTAAACGACCGCCTCCGTGGTCTTGTGGTAGAGCGTCCGCCCGGAGAGCGGAAGGTCCAGGGTTCGATCCCGGGCCGCGTCATACAAAAAGACGTTAAAAGATTGTACTTGTTGTTACCCTGTCTGGCGCTCGGCATTAAGGGGCTAAAACAAGGACTGGTCGGCTCGGAGTCAGTATACTGTGTATGAGTGGGGTATTCATGTTAAACTGCGGCATGGTATCTCAGTGAGCTAGCACTATAAATCGGCATCAGTCCGGACTAGTACAAGCAGCCACACACACACACATACACGTGCATGCACGTCGCTATATAAGTGCAATAATCTTGGACGCGACGTTAAACCTAATTTCACCTCACCTCACCTTGATTGTAAACCTGCAGTTGTCAACGTGTTTCGTATTGTTGACGTCAAATGTCTCAATTCCTGTGGCAGCCCTGAAGTTTTCCTTCAGTTTCGGCACAGACCCTAATCGTAACCCCACCCCTTTGTTGTATTGTTCCAACAGTCGGGATATCAAACGTTTAGATTCACTAAAGTGTCTGGCAACTGCATTTGTGATTGGTCAGCTTCAGTCATGCCTATTGTATTCGAGTTTTCATTTCTGCCATGTACATTTCTGGAGGCAGTTTCCTTCTCTGTACCCGATCAATGAACCCCGTGGTTGTAACGTTTATTGCAAGTAACCAGGATTTGTCACCGTGGACGGTATACTATAGATGAACAATGTGCAATTTGGACAAGTTTATTGTCCGCGTTCAGTAACTGTGTCTCGTGCAGCAAAGTTTGCCATTTCATTCTTATACACATGTAGCTGAAATGACAAAGTTCCTCTATATAGTGTTTATCGTATATAGTTACAACACATCTTGTGTATTCAAGACCCAGTCTCAATCTGACGTTTCGATAGTATCCATTACCTCCTCATAACCTATCCTAGTGACATGAACCACACACTCGATCTCTTACCATTACTTACCAGTTACTTAGCAACATTAGATTTCCTCTTTGAAACTTCCGGTAATAGTGGTATAGGATACAGACCCCGCAATAGATGAAAGTCGCGTTATAGATCTCTCACAGCCAAGCTTATACATCCCGTAAGTAAAAAAGTCGATGTGTGAAAGATTTCAGGGACTTGGAGAAAACCAGAGCTGTACATGTGATCTATTCGTTTCATCTTAACGGTCTCTGTAACCTCGCCTGTGAGTGACATACAGCTGCAACAGAACCCTATGTCATCTAGACATCTCAGATGGCAACAGACAAGACCAAGGTTGTATGATACAAATATAACAATAATATTATCTGCGGTAGGCAAGGAATGTGTCATTGTCTTCACTCCATCCACTCAATTACACAAGGCTTACGTGCGGTAGAACAACACGCTTCAAATCCTGTGTGAACTCCTGCTATATACCAGACACATAAGATAGCGCATGGTCATTGTATACTCTGGATATGTAGGAATGATGATACTTTTGTTTTCTGAGCAGATTACTTGTTTCTACTGAACGTGATCACCTGAACACTTAACAACGGCTACAACTGCTACAACTGCTACAACGGCTACAACGGCTACAACTGCTGCTCTGTGTTCATGTCGCAGAGTACCGCCAGACCTTGACCCAGGTCGGATCCCCTGGTGAAAGCACACAATACTTCAGTGAGTGAGTGAGTTGGGTTTAACGCCGCTTTTAACATTATTCCAGTTATATCGCGGCGTGTCAGCTTAATGTGGTAGGAAAGCCCGAAGTGATGCAGGTCTTAGACGTTTACCACTTCTGTGAAGCCCACGAGCACGGGTATGGTGCTGACAAACCTAGAAACATAATTGGGGCGAACCGGGATTAGAACCCACAATCATAGGTTTCTGGCATGCCCAAGGGACGCAACTCTGCAGAGCGAATCGCGGCGCCTCAGACGACTGGGCCACCCGTGCCCCCACATTACTTCAGACTAACCACGATGATTCATCTGAAGAGCATTGTAAGAAAGTCTGCTGGAAGTGATGCGGCTCCATGTGCTGTATATCAGTGAATGGGTTGAAACAGATGTTGTCGCCTGGGCCTCGTAGGCAGAACTATGGCAAATGAACGTCAATAAATACATGTGAAAATCGTTGTTTCCCAACTACGCGAGAAAAGGACAACTGCGACCCTGTGCTAAATGTTCAATTTGATAACATCATCGCAATGAAGCTTCTTCTTAATACTTGACAATGCCACATACACACCAATTCATTCTGAACATTGTAACAGTGAATATGCATAGAGCTAAACACGAAACACCGTTCTCTGAAATCAGAATGAGTGTCAGGAAGAATTTATTATTACATGAATTTGAACTGACACCATTCCGTGTCATCACTAATTTGTTGGTCCAGATTCGATTATATACAGTGAAGTCACCTCAGATCAACAAGTCCATACTTTGTGAGGGGAGAACATAACTACGAGACAACATGGACACTACATGTTCTGCATGGTACCTGTGGTTGCCATGACTCCCAGGGACATGTATTCAGCAAATGCACTACTAAAACAAAACAAATTGCCATATCACGAGAGCGACCTTTTTGGTCTTGTTCGTGAACAAAGGATTATACTGAAATCAGTGAAGTCCATGCAAATCTAGGTCCTTGTCTGCATATGGTACCCCACAAGCAAATCATGTCTGTCCATAAGAAAGCAGCTATCAGATGTCACGACATCTGCTCAATGTATAATAATCGTTTCTTGACAAATATTTATCAAAATGTGGAAAGTTCTTTTAAAATGACATGATGATTGCGCACACAAAATTTCCTCCTAATAAACACTATGGTGTTAGAGATGTTGAAAGGTGAAGGTCAAGGCCATTCCGTATTAAAATATACATATACATAATTTGACATCATTCGTTTCAACACATATTCACTGTAATTTGGATTAAACATGAATGGCTCAAAAAGTCATACATATTTTCGTTTTAGATTTTTGTATTTCGTATTATTTCCAAATACGATAATTTTACCCACTCGGAACGACAAAATGGTTATTTGACATCCATTAAGAATCCAATCCTGCTTTCTTGTTGTGATGTGCCTCTTTTAGCCCATTATTTCTAGACCGGATTATCTTTGCCGGGTAAATGTGCTAAGATTGAGAGATCGTTGCTAAAGCGACAATCGGCACGCGTCCTCAGTGCTTTGGAAAGGCTACAGTGATAATTCGCGTGGCCTTGGAATGCCTTCTCTTTATACCCCATATGTGCACGAAAAACTAATAACAGCTCTCATGTTTCGTCCTTCGCACGAGAAATAAAGTGTTCTTGAGAATGAGTATTTGGTACGTTTTGGTGACGACTCACAAAGGATATCAACCCTTAAATCGTTTAGGAGTGTCTTAAACTCTAAACAATATCGGATATTCCATGTACTTTTACAGCTATTTTTTTACAGTGACATTTTCATTGATGCACACTGGTGCGTTTTGATGGTGCGTGTCAGAATATATCACTATATATATATATATATATATATATATATATATATATATATATATATATATATATATGTTATCCTGTCCATTTGCATTATTTACAGATCGAGATTTTATAAGGTCGGAAGACTCATTTGATTGCACGGTAAATTATAGAAGCTCAGAGTTGCATTTTGAGTAAAAATCTGGCAAGGTTGCCCCGCTATCATCTATATTTGCGATAGATACAAAATAATAATTGAGGGTTTCGGCTCTTTTAAGTCAGTGAAAGCATGAGACCCAGGGGGGAATTACTTGTAGACGAGCCAAACTGGTTCACTAATTACCGAAGCAGTTACCCCAGATTACTGGCTTACCGAAGGAGCGACATGCTGTGGGTTGCGCGTGGTGTTACATGGCGGCCGTGTTATTGTTGGCTCGGGTTTGCCAATGAGTGTTTGTAACATATGGAAAGACTTCATTCAGGAAGCAGTTTCTTATGTTTTTATTACATTTGCAAAGCGAACATGCGAGTCTTCCTTATTTCGATCCGTGTGTAAGGAAAGTGCGTTACAACTTTTCAAATAGTGGAACTTACTCTCTAAGGTATTTACACTGATCATACGGCAGTGCAAAAACTAAGTCCTCAATTCTCAGACAACGACACTGCGTTGTTGCGTTTGAACCAGTAAGATCCAAGATTGAACCAAAATGAAATTTCTGTAAAATGCTTTAGATATTCTCCTTTTCTTAGAAAAAATATTGTCGTAAAACATGATATCATATGTGATATGCAAAGTAAAATGACACTTACCGCCAAGTAAACATATTCCCTTTGACGAGTTACAGTGAGAAGTAGTCGAATCCCCCAATGTTTGACTGAAGTGCCTAGAAGCACCGCGTTTGATGCTGTCGTCAACGTTTAGAGCAGATCAGCTAAACAGCTACAGTATGTTGTGAGAAACCACATAGAACCGTTTCTGACAAACGTTATTTTAGAAGCTATCAGGCATCACTTGAATAATGCCCTCCTTGTTAATACCAAGGGGAAGTAAGCGATGTTGGTGGTAGTGATAAAAGCAATGCCAGTCTGTCAGAGAAGGATCAGTTCCTTGGTGGATTCGGCATAGTTATCACCGATACCATATTGATGCGCATTGTCAATACACGTGATGATCATCAGTGGAAGTAGCAGCATAAACAAATACAACTTCACATAGTCTCAGACATGTTGGAAGGAGACGAGGGTCCAAGTGTCTAGGTGCTGCTAAAGGGTGGCAGAATACTGCCACCAGCTGCATGTACCGGGGACCAAGGAGCGTGAACAGCACGACCAACTATCCAAGTTCAAGGATCTAGCGTGCTTTTTATGCGGAGAGTGAGATCAGATGAAGGCATCTTGTCGAGAAGTGGGAACTGTTGCCGGATGCACGGCTCGGTAGGTTATAGTGTGTACAGACAGTCACAGGAGGTTGTGCGGTAGAGTGTTACAGACAGCCACAGGAGGTTGTGCGGTAGAGTGTTACAGACAGTCACAGGAGGTTGTGCGGTAGAGTGTTACAGACAGTTGCTGCAGGTTGTTGGGTAGAGTGTGTACTGACAGTTACAGGCGGTTGTCGGGTAGAGTGTGTACAGACAGTTACAGGAGGTTGTGCGGTATAGTGTGTACTGACAGTTACAGCCGGTTGTTGGGTAGAGTGTGTACTGATAGTTACAGGAGGTTGTTGGGTAGAGTGTGTACCGACAGTTACAGGAGGTTGTTGGGTAGAGTGTGTACCGACAGTTACAGGCGGTTGTTGGGTAGAGTGTGTACTGACAGATACTTGAGGTTGTTGGGTAGAGTGTGTACTGACAGTTATAGGCGGTTCTTGGGTAGAGTGTGTACTGACAGTTACAGGCGGTTGTTGGGTAGAGTGTGTACAAACAGTTACAGGAGGTTGTTTGGTAGAGTGTGTATTGACAGTTACAGGCGGTTGTTCGGTAGAGTGTGTACTGACAGTTACAGGCGGTTGTTGGGGAGAGTGTGTACTGACAGTTACAGGCGGTTGTTGGGTAGAGTGTGTACAAACAGTTACAGGAGGTTGTTGGGTAGAGTGTGTACTGACAGTTACAGGCTGTTGTTGGGTAGAGTGTGTACTGACAGTTACAGGCGGTTGTTGGGTAGAGTGTGTACCGACAGTTACAGGCGGTTGTTGGGTAAAGTGTGTACTGACAGTTAATGGGGGTTATTCGGTAGAGTGTGTACTGACAGTTACAGGCGGTTGTTGGGTAGTGTGTGTACAGACAGTTACAGGAGGTTTTTGAGTAGAGTGTGTACAGACAGTTACAGGAGGTTTTTGAGTAGAGTGTGTACAAACAGTTACAGGAGGTTTTTGAGTAGAGTGTGTACTGACAGTTAAAGGAGGTTGTTTGGTAGAGTGTGTACAGACAGTTACAGGATGTTGTTGGGTAGAGTGTGTACTGACAGTTAAAGGAGGCTTTTTGGTAGAGTGTGTACAGACAGTTATGGGATGTTGTTGGGTACAGTGTGTACAGACAGTTAAAGGAGGCTTTTTCGGTAGAGTGTGTACAAACAGTTACAGGAGGTTGTTGGGTAGAGTGTGTACTGACAGATACTTGAGGTTGTTGGGTAGAGTGTGTACTGACAGTTATAGGCGGTTCTTGGGTAGAGTGTGTTCTGACAGTTACAGGCGGTTGTTGGGTAGAGTGTGTACAAACAGTTACAGGAGGTTGTTGGGTAGAGTGTGTACTGACAGTTACAGGCGGTTGTTCGGTAGAGTGTGTACTGACAGTTACAGGCGGTTGTTGGGGAGAGTGTGTACTGACAGTTACAGGCGGTTGTTGGGTAGAGTTTCTACAAACAGTTACAGGAGGTTGTTGGGTAGAGTGTGTACTGACAGTTACAGGCTGTTGTTGGGTAGAGTGTCTACTGACAGTTACAGGCGGTTGTTGGGTAGAGTGTGTACCGACAGTTACAGGCGGTTGTTGGGTAGAGTGTGTACTGACAGTTAATGGGGGTTGTTGGGTAGAGTGTGTACTGACAGTTACAGGCGGTTGTTGGGTAGTGTGTGTACAGACAGTTACAGGAGGTTGGTGGGTAGAGTGTGTACAAACAGCTACAGGAGGTTTTTGAGTAGAGTGTGTACTGACAGTTAAAGGAGGTTGTTTGGTAGAGTGTGTACAGACAGTTACAGGATGTTGTTGGGTAGAGTGTGTACTGACACTTAAAGGAGGCTTTTGGTAGAGTGTGTACAGACAGTTATAGGATGTTGTTGGGTACAGTGTGTACAGACAGTTACAGTCAGTTGTTCGGTAGAGTGTGTACAAACAGTTACAGGAGGTTGTTGGGTAGAGAGTGTACAGACAGTTACTGGAGGTTGTTGGGTAGAGTGTGTACAAACAGTTACAGGAGGTTGTTGGGTAGAGTGTGTACAAACAGTTACAGGAGGTTGTTGGGTAAAGTGTGTACTGACATTTACAGGACGGTTTTGGGTAGAGTGTGTCCTGACAGTTACGGGCGGTTGTTGGGTAGAGTGTGTACTGACAGTTACAGGACGGTTTTGGGTAGAGTGTGTCCTGACAGTTAATGGGGGTTGTTGGGTAGAATGTGTACTGACAGTTACAGGCGGTTGTTGGGTAGAGTGTGTACTGACAGTTACAGGAGGTTGTTGGGTAGAGTGTGTACCGACAGTTACAGGCGGTTGTTGGGTAGAGTGTGTACTGACAGTTAATGGGGGTTGTTCGGTAGAGTGTGTACTGACAGTTACAGGCGGTTGTTGGGTAGAGTGTGTACAGACACTTACAGGCGGTTGTTGGGTAGTGTGTGTACAGACAGTTACAGGAGGTTGTTGGGTAGAGTGTGTACCGACAGTTACAGGCGGTTGTTCGGTAGAGTGTGTCCTGACAGTTAATGGGGGCTGTTCGGTAGAGTGTGTACTGACAGTTACAGACGGTTGTTGGATAGAGTGTGTACCGACAGTTACAGGAGGTTGTGCGGTAGAGTGTGCACAAACAGTTACAGGCGGTTGTTGGGTAGATTGTGTACAGACACTTACAGGCGGTTGTTGGGTAGAGTGTGTACTGACAGTTACTGCAGGTTGTTGGGTAGAGTGTGTACAAACAGTTACAGGAGGTTGTTGGGTAGAGTGTGTACCGACAGTTACAGGCGGTTGTTTGGTAGAGTGTGTACTGACAGTTACAGGCGGTTGTTTGGTAGATTGTGTACCGACACTTACAGGCGGTTGTTGGGTAGAGTGTGTACTGACAGTTACAGGCGGTTGTTGGGTAGAGTGTGTACTGACAGTTACAGGCGGTTGTTGGGTAGAGTGTGTACAAACAGTTACAGGAGGTTGTTGGGTAGAGTGTGTACTGACAGTTACAGGCTGTTGTTGGGTAGAGTGTGTACTGACAGTTACAGGCGGTTGTTGGGTAGAGTGTGTACTGACAGTTACAGGCGGTTGTTGGGTAGAGTGTGTACCGACAGTTACAGGAGGTTGTTGGGTAGAGTGTGTACTGACAGTTACTGGAGGTTGTTGGGTAGAGTGTGTACTGACAGTTACAGGCGGTTGTTCGGTAGAGTGTGTACTGACAGTTACTGCAAGTTGTTGGGTAGAGTGTGTACTGACAGTTACTGCAAGTTGTTGGGTAGAGTGTGTACAGACAGTTACAGGAGGTTGTTGGGTACAGTGTGTACTGACAGTTAAAGGAGCGTTTTGGGTAGAGTGTGTCCTGACAGTTAATGGGGGTTGTTCGGTAGAGTGTGTACTGACAGTTACAGGAGGTTGTTGGGTAGAGTGTGTACAGACAGTTACAGGCGATTGTTGGGTAGAGTGTGTACCGACAGTTACAGGAGGTTGTTGGGTAGAGTGTGTATAAACAGTTACAGGCGGTTGTTGGGTAGAGTGTGTACTGACAGTTACAGAAAGTTGTTGGGTAGAGTGTGTATAAACAGTTACAGGCGGTTGTTGGGTAAAGTGTGTACTGACAGTTACAGGCGGTTGTTGGGTAGAGTGTGTATAAAAGGTTACAGGCGGTTGTTGGGTAAAGTGTGTACTGACAGTTACAGGCGGTTGTTGGGTAGAGTGTGTATAAACAGTTACAGGCGGTTGTTGGGTAAAGTGTGTACTGACAGTTACAGGCGGTTGTTTGGTCAAGTGTGTACTGACAGTTACAGGCGGTTGTTGGGTAGAGTGTGTACAAACAGTTACAGGCGGTTGTTGGGTAGAGTGTGTACCGACAGTTACAGGCGGTTGTTTGGTAGAGTGTGTACTGACAGTTACAGGCGGTTGTTGGGTAGATTGTGTACAGACACTTACAGGCGGTTGTTGGGTAGAGTGTGTACTGACAGTTACAGGCGGTTGTTGGGTAGAGTGTGTACCGACAGTTACAGGCGGTTGTTGTGTAGAGTGTGTACAGACACTTACAGGCGGTTGTTGGGTAGAGTGTGTACTGACAGTTACAGGAGGTTGTTGCGTAGAGTGTGTACTGACATTTATAGGAGGTTTTTGGTTAGAGTGTGTACTGACAGTAACAGGAGGTTGTTGGGTAGAGTGTGTACTGACAGTTTCAGGCGGTTGTCGGGTAGATTGTGTACTGACAGTTACAGGAGGTTGTGGGGTAGAGTGTGTACTGACAGTTCCAGGCAGTTGTTGGGTAGATTGTGTACTGACAGTTACAGGCGGTTGTTTGGTAGAGTGTGTACAGACAGTTACAGGCTGTTTTGGGGTAGAGTGTGTACTGACAGTTACAGGCTGTTGTTGGGGAGAGTGTGTACAGACAGTTACAGGCGGTTGTTGGGTAGAGTGTGTACTGACAGTTAAAGGAGGTTGTTTGATAGAGTGTGTACTGACATTTATAGGAGGTTTTTGAGTAGAGTGTGTACTGAAGTTAAAGGGGGTTGTTGGGTAGAGTGTGTACTGACATTTACAGGCGGTTGTTTGGTAGAGTGTGTACAAACACTTACAGGAGGTTGTTGGGTAGTGTGTGTACTGACAGTTACAGGCGGTTGTTTGGTAGAGTGTGTACAAACAGTTACAGGCGGTTGTTGGGTAGAGTGTGTACTGACAGTTAAAGGAGGTTGTTTGATAGAGTGTGTACTGACATTTATAGGAGGTTTTTGAGTAGAGTGTGTACTGAAGTTAAAGGGGGTTGTTGGGTAGAGTGTGTACTGACATTTACAGGAGGTTTTTAGGTAGAGTGTGTACAGACAGTTACAGGCGGTTGTTGGGTAGGGTGTGTACAAACAGTTACAGGAGGTTGTTCGGTAGAGTGTGTACTGACAGTTACAGGAAGTTGTTGGGTAGTGTGTGTACTGACAGTTACAGGCGGTTGTTGGGTAGAGTGTGTACTGACAATTACAGGCGGTTGTTGGGTAGGGTGTGTACAAACAGTTACAGGCGGTTGTTGGGTAGAGTGTGTACTGACACTTACAGGAGGTTGTTGGGTAGAGTGTGTACTGACAGTTAAAGGAGGTTGTTGGGTAGTGTGTGTACAAACAGTTATAGGAGGTTTTTGAGTAGAGTGTGTACTGAAAGTTAAAGGGGGTTGTTGGGAAGAGTGTGTACTGACATTTACAGGAGGTTTTTAGGTAGAGTGTGTACAGACAGTTACAGGCGGTTGTTGGGTAGGGTGTGTACAAACAGTTACAGGAGGTTGTTTGGTAGAGTGTGTACTGACAGTTACAGAAAGTTGTTGGGTAGTGTGTGTACTGACAGTTACAGGAGGTTGTTGGGTAGAGTGTGTACTGACACTTACAGGAGGTTGTTGGGTAGAGTGTGTACAAACAGTTACAGGAGGTTGTTGGGTAGAGTGTGTACAAACAGTTACAGGTGGTTGTTGGGTAGAGTGTGTACTGACAGTTAAAGGAGGCTTTTTGGTAGAGTGTGTACAGACAGTTAAAGGAGGCTTTTTGGGTAGAGTGTGTACAAACAGTTACAGGTGGTTGTTGGGTAGAGTGTGTACAGACAGTTACAGGAGGTTGTTGGGTAGAGTGTGTACTGACAGTTACAGGAGGTTGTTGGGTAGAGTGTGTGCAGACAGTAACAGGATGTTGTTGGGTAAAGTTTGTACTGACAGTTAAAGGAGGCTTTTTGGCAGAGTGTGTACAGACAGTTATAGGATGTTGTTGGGTAGGGTGTGTACAGACAGTTACAGCAGGTTGTTGGGCAGAGTGTGTACTGACAGTTACAGGCGGTTGTTGGGCAGAGTGTGTACAAACAGTTACAGGTGGTTGTTGGGTAGAGTGTGTACTGGCAGTTACGGGAGGTTGTTGGGTAGAGTGTGTACTGGCAGTTACGGGAGGTTGTTGGGTAGAGTGTGTACAGACAGTTATAGGATGTTGTTGGGTAGGGTGTGTACAGACAGTTACAGCAGGTTGTTGGGCAGAGTGTGTACAGACAGTTACAGGAGGTTGTTGGGCAGAGTGTGTACAAACAGTTACAGGTGGTTGTTGGGTAGAGTGTGTACTGGCAGTTACGGGAGGTTGTTGGGTAGAGTGTGTACAAACAGTTACAGGAGGTTGTTGGGTAGGGTGTGTACAAACAGTTACAGGAGGTTGTTGGGTAAAGTGTGTACTGACAGTTAAAGGGGGTTGTTGGGTAGAGTGTGTACTGACAGTTAAAGGGGGTTGTTTGGTAGAGTATGTACAACAGTTAAAGGATGTTGTTGGGTAGAGTGTGTACTGACAGTTAAAGGCGGTTGTTGGGTAAAGTGTGTACTGACAGTTAAAGGGGGTTGTTGGGTAGAGTGTGTACAAACAGTTAAAGGATGTTGTTGGGTAGAGTGTGTACTGACAGTTACAGGCGGTTGTTGGGCAGAGTGTGTACTGACACTTACAGGCGGTTGTTGGATAGAGTGTGTACAAACAGTTACAGGAGGTTGTTGGGTAGAGTGTGTACAAACAGTTACAGGTGGTTGTTGGGTAGAGTGTGTACTGACAGTTAAAGGAGGCTTTTAGGGAGAGTGTGTACTGACAGTTAAAGGAGGCTTTTTGGGTAGGGTGTGTACAAACAGTTACAGGTGGTTGTTGGGTAGAGTGTGTACAGACATTTACAGGAGGTTTTTGTGTAGAGTGTGTACAAACAGTTACAGGAGGTTTTTGAGTAGAGTGTGTACTGACAGTTACAGGAGGTTGTTGGGTAGAGTGTGTACAGACAGTTACAGGATGTTGTTGGGTAGAGTGTGTACTGACAGTTAAAGGAGGCTTTTTGGTAGAGTGTGTTCAGACAGTTATAGGATGTTGTTGGGTAGAGTGTGTACAAAGAGTTACAGGTGGTTGTTGGGTAGAGTGTGTACTGACAGTTAAAGGAGGTTTTTGTGTAGAGTGTGTACAAACAGTTACAGGAGGTTTTTGAGTAGAGCGTGTACTGACAGTTACAGGAGGTTGTTGGGTAGAGTGTGTACAGACAGTTACAGGATATTGTTGGGTAGAGTGTGTACTGACAGTTAAAGGAGGCTTTTTGGGTAGAGTGTGTACAAACAGTTACAGGTGGTTGTTGGGTTGAGTGTGTACAGACAGTTACAGGAGGTTTTTGTGTAGAGTGTGTACAAACAGTTACAGGAGGTTTTTGAGTAGAGTGTGTACTGACAGTTACAGGAGGTTGTTGGGTAGAGTGTGTACAGACAGTTACAGGATATTGTTGGGTAGAGTGTGTACTGACAGTTACAGGTGGTTTTTGGGTAGAGTGTGTACAGACAGTTACAGGAGGTTTTTGTGTAGAGTGTGTACAAACAGTTACAGGAGGTTTTTGAGTAGAGTGTGTACTGACAGTTACAGGAGGTTGTTGGGTAGAGTGTGTACAGACAGTTACAGGATATTGTTGGGTAGAGTGTGTACTGACAGTTAAAGGAGGCTTTTTGGTAGAGTGTGTTCAGACAGTTATAGGATGTTGTTGGGTAGAGTGTGTACAGACAGTTACAGCAGGTTGTTGGGTAGAGTGTGTACAAACAGTTACAGGAGGTTATTGGGTAGAGTGTGTACAGACAGTTACAGCAGGTTGTTGGGTTGAGTGTGTACAGACAGTTACAGGAGGTTTTTGTGTAGAGTGTGTACAAACAGTTACATGAGGTTTTTGAGTAGAGTGTGTACTGACAGTTACAGGAGGTTGTTGGGTAGAGTGTGTACAGACAGTTACAGGATATTGTTGGGTAGAGTGTGTACTGACAGTTACAGGTGGTTGTTGGGTAGAGTGTGTACAGACAGTTACAGGAGGTTTTTGTGTAGAGTGTGTACAAACAGTTACAGGGGGTTTTTGAGTAGAGTGTGTACTGACAGTTACAGGAGGTTGTTGGGTAGAGTGTGTACAGACAGTTACAGGATATTGTTGGGTAGAGTGTGTACTGACAGTTAAAGGAGGCTTTTTGGTAGAGTGTGTTCAGACAGTTATAGGATGTTGTTGGGTAGAGTGTGTACAGACAGTTACAGCAGGTTGTTGGGTAGAGTGTGTACAAACAGTTACAGGAGGTTATTGGGTAGAGTGTGTACAGACAGTTACAGCAGGTTGTTGGGTAGAGTGTGTACAAACAGTTACAGGAGGTTGTTGGGTAAAGTGTGTACTGACAGTTAAAGGGGGTTGTTGGGTAGAGTGTGTACTGACAGTTAAAGGGGGTTGTTGGGTAGTTTGTCTACAAACAGTTTTTGGATGATAAATTATGATAAACAAGTGAATAAACTTAGATTTACGCGATAGTGAACACTATTCCATTATTACCATGGCGTCCTGTATATTCTGGACCATGGCCAGTCTACCCAGAGACCGAACACAACAGAAACACGATTTGTATAAAAATAACTTTATCAATGATAAATTATCATCAGTGACTTGTATATTTACAAATCTCAGGATTCCAAGAGAATTGTTATCTTCAGCACTCCGGTCGTGTTTGGCGTTTTACGATCGCATCAATGTTAACAATGACACCAGCACATGTGGCCGGCCAGTAAAGATAAGTACATCATGTACCATCTTCGGCACACAACAGGTTATATTGGGGTTAGGAGTACGATGTCAGGCAGTACTTGCAGGGGGACATCTGTCCACAATCCTGGACGATGAGTGCGTGAGCGAATAAGCATAATGGTATAAAGTCACGTTTTTCTTGAGTGTGTCAATATTGTTGAAACTACTTGTTGATGCACAGCGTAGCGAGTGGACATTGGTACAATGCTTTCAGCAGTATTCCAGAAACATCATGGCAGGGGACACAAAGAATGAACCTTAACATAGTGTACCAATGTGGAAATCGAGGGCCCGTCTACATGGCAGTGGACTGACAAACAAAACATACCTGATTGAACTGCGAAATAAGCCGTAACAAATTTGAAGCCATAACTGTGTGGGTTGAACACGCAGACAAGAGATGGAAACGCACCCCTTGCGGATTGTGGTATACACTAAGTTACTAAAGAAGGTTTCACGCCGTAGTCGTTAATATTACAGTGCGTCAAGTCTGTCTATTTGAACCAGGTAAAACCTTTTCCCTCAAGGACAATTGTTATATCAACCGCGTAACCATTCTTTCCATCCAGTCTCTATATAATCGCAAAGAAGAAAATTAATATTTAGGCTAGGAAGGCCAGTGGTATTTTAAAAACAACGGCTATTATAGCAAAGAAGTATTTTTCGTCAGGTGGGAATCTACACGTGAATGAACCTTTTGTTCTGTTAGATGTTCCTATATAGCTAGCGGTGGGTAAGATATTTCTTTCTGAGCATCGTTTTTAAACTTCAGTAATTGATCTCGTAGGATGAGCCTGAGCGCATGATCGTATTGAGAGCACATTTTTGTCACTAAGATAAACTGAGAGTGATGAGACACAGAGACATAAGAACAGAGACGTGCTGCGTGTGTGCGGCGTCTGTGCACGTCTCCTCCACGGTGGAGGGCCTGTAGTGGAGGATCCAGTCGTCCACGATCTCCTCCAAGATAGTGAGAGGCATGGGGCCGTTCTCCAGCACCACGGAGTGGAAGTCCCGAATGTCAAACAGCTCACCTGGAATCAGTATTCATACAGAATGTTAAAAGGGTGACACTGTTTTCTTCACTTCTAACACATGATATACTTCGGTTATTAACTTCAGTTCTACACTCATGAAACCTGTGTAGAAGGTGCAGGTTCCCCCTTGTTATGTCCTTACCCAATGCATCCTGTGTAGAAGGTGCCCCTTGTTATGTCCTCACCAAATGCATCCTGTGTAGAAGGTGCCCCTTGTTATGTCCTTACCTAATGTATCCTGTGTGGATGGCTCAGGTTCCCCCTCGTTATGTCGTTACCTAATGCATCCGGTGGAGAAGGTGCAGGTTCCCTCTTGTTATGTCCTTACCTAATGCATCCTGTGTAGAAGGTGCAGGTTCCCCCTTGTTATGTCCTTACCTAATGCATCCTGTGTAGAAGGTGCAGGTTCCCCCTTGTTATGTCCTTACCCAATGCATCCTGTGTAGAAGGTGCAGGTTCCTCCTTGTTATGTCCTTACCCAATGCATCCGGTGTAGAAGGTGCAGGTTCCCCCTTGTTATGTCCTTACCTAATGCATCATGTGTAGAAGGTGCAGGTTCCCCCTTGTTATGTTCTTACCTAATGCATCATGTGTAGAAGGTGCAGGTTCCCCCTTGTTGTGTCCTTACTTAATGCATCCTGTGAAGAAGGTGCAGGTTCCCCCTTGTTATGTCCTTACCTAATGCATCCTGTGTAGAAGGTGCAGGTTCCCTCTTGTTATGTCCTTACCTAAAGCATCCTGTGTAGAAGGTGCAGGTTCCCTCTTGTTATGTCCTTACCTAATGCATCCTGTGTAGAAGGTGCAGGTTCCCTCTTGTTATGTCCTTACCTAATGCATCCTGTGTAGAAGGTGCAGGTTCCTCCTTGTTATGTCCTTACCTAATGCATCCTGTGTAGAAGGTGCAGGTTCCCCCTTGTTATGTCCTTACCCAATGCATCCTGTGTAGAAGGTGCAGGTTCCTCCTTGTTATGTCCTTACCCAATGCATCCGGTGTAGAAGGTGCAGGTTCCCCCTTGTTATGTCCTAACCAATGCATCCTGTGTAGAAGGTGCCCCTTGTTATGTCCTCACCAAATGCATCCTGTGTAGAAGGTGCCCCTTGTTATGTCCTTACCTAATGTATCCTGTGTGGATGGTTCAGGTTCCCCCTCGTTATGTCGTTACCTAATGCATCCGGTGGAGAAGGTGCAGGTTCCCTCTTGTTATGTCCTTACCTAATGCATCCTGTGTAGAAGGTGAAGGTTCCCCCTTGTTATGTCCTTACCTAATGCATCCTGTGTAGAAGGTGCAGGTTCCCCCTTGTTATGTCCTTACCCAATGCATCCTGTGTAGAAGGTGCAGGTTCCTCCTTGTTATGTCCTTACCCAATGCATCCGGTGTAGAAGGTGCAGGTTCCCCCTTGTTATGTCCTTACCTAATGCATCATGTGTAGAAGGTGCAGGTTCCCCCTTGTTATGTTCTTACCTAATGCATCATGTGTAGAAGGTGCAGGTTCCCCCTTGTTGTGTCCTTACCTAATGCATCCTGTGTAGAAGGTGCAGGTTCCCCCTTGTTATGTCCTTACCTAATGCATCCTGTGTAGAAGGTGCAGGTTCCCTCTTGTTATGTCCTTACCTAAAGCATCCTGTGTAGAAGGTGCAGGTTCCCTCTTGTTATGTCCTTACCTAATGCATCCTGTGTAGAAGGTGCAGGTTCCCTCTTGTTATGTCCTTACCTAATGCATCCTGTGTAGAAGGTGCAGGTTCCTCCTTGTTATGTCCTTACCTAATGCATCCGGTGTAGAAGGTGCAGGTTCCCCCTTGTTATGTCCTTACCCAATGCATCCTGTGTAGAAGGTGCAGGTTCCTCCTTGTTATGTCCTTACCCAATGCATCCGGTGTAGAAGGTGCAGGTTCCCCCTTGTTATGTCCTAACCAATGCATCCTGTGTAGAAGGTGCCCCTTGTTATGTCCTCACCAAATGCATCCGGTGTAGAAGGTGCCCCTTGTTATGTCCTTACCTAATGTATCCTGTGTGGATGGTTCAGGTTCCCCCTCGTTATGTCGTTACCTAATGCATCCGGTGGAGAAGGTGCAGGTTCCCTCTTGTTATGTCCTTACCTAATGCATCCTGTGTAGAAGGTGAAGGTTCCCCCTTGTTATGTCCTTACCTAATGCATCCTGTGTAGAAGGTGCAGGTTCCCCCTTGTTATGTCCTTACCCAATGCATCCTGTGTAGAAGGTGCAGGTTCCTCCTTGTTATGTCCTTACCCAATGCATCCGGTGTAGAAGGTGCAGGTTCCCCCTTGTTATGTCCTTACCTAATGCATCATGTGTAGAAGGTGCAGGTTCCCCCTTGTTATGTTCTTACCTAATGCATCATGTGTAGAAGGTGCAGGTTCCCCCTTGTTGTGTCCTTACCTAATGCATCCTGTGTAGAAGGTGCAGGTTCCCCCTTGTTATGTCCTTACCTAATGCATCCTGTGTAGAAGGTGCAGGTTCCCTCTTGTTATGTCCTTACCTAAAGCATCCTGTGTAGAAGGTGCAGGTTCCCTCTTGTTATGTCCTTACCTAATGCATCCTGTGTAGAAGGTGCAGGTTCCCTCTTGTTATGTCCTTACCTAATGCATCCTGTGTAGAAGGTGCAGGTTCCCCCTTGTTATGTCCTTACCTAATGCATCCTGTGTAGAAGGTGCAGGTTCCCTCTTGTTATGTCCTTACCTAAAGCATCCGGTGTAGAAGGTGCAGGTTCCCCCTTGTTATGTCCTTACCTAATGCATCCTGTGTAGAAGGTGCAGGTTCCCCCTTGTTATGTCCTTCCCTAAAGCATCCTGTGTAGAAGGTGCAGGTTCCCCCTTGTTATGTCCTTACCTAATGCATCCTGTGTAGAAGGTGCAGGTTCCCTCTTGTTATGTCCTTACCTAAAGCATCCTGTGTGGAAGGTGCAGGTTCCCTCTTGTTATGTCCTTACCTAATGCATCCTGTGTAGAAGGTGAAGGTTCCCTCTTGTTATGTCCTTACCTAATGCATCCTGTGTAGAAGGTGCAGGTTCCCTCTTGTTATGTCCTTACCTAATGCATCCTGTGTAGAAGGTGCAGGTTCCCCCTTGTTATGTCCTTACCTAATGCATCCTGTGTAGAAGGTGCAGGTTCCCCCTTGTTATGTCCTTACCTAAAGCATCCTGTGCTCTCTTCCGTAACTCTTTTATTTTGATTTCGCCAATCTTGTATGCACATGCCTGCCCTGGCCATGTGATGTATCTGTCAATCTCTGTCGTCATTTCCGCCCTGGAGAAGGATGTGTAATTCAGCATGTACTGGATAGCCTCCTCGCGGTTCCACCTGGTTCAGACAGACAACGACCACGGTGTTAGGATAAGCCTGCCTTCAGTGGCAGAAATAGTTCAACCATAGTGAGAACATCTTAATGGGTAAAAGTTGTGGATAGCAAGAGAAAGAATCGTGAAAAATATGCCTCCATGTTTGTGGAATTGAGATAAAAAGAAAACAACCAAGAAACAGGAACAGGGCTGTGGTGAAAGCAGAATTCAGATGTGTGTAGAATAGAAAATTTGTAGTTTATATCCCGAAAAAAATATCTATACAAATTCAAAGTCAAAATATCAAGTCAAATTAAAAACTTCACATTTTTAAAAGTAATCCCATATATGATATACAACGGACAAATGTATCAGAGGTGGTAATTTTTCATCATTAATATCCAAAGAAGGATTTTGATTAACGGTGGTAACCATAATTTGTTCCAAGCACCTACGGTATTCGGTAATAAAATCAACAGTTTGAATCATAAGTCCAAAGCACGAGAGTCTGATGGCACACAAGTTCAGTAGTGCGTATGGCCACCATGTGCGTTGACAACTGCCACACAACGCCTCCGCATGGACCTTGTGATGCTTGTGAACACATGATTGGGAAGACGACGCCATTGTTGCTGCAAAATGGTGCCAAGATCTTGCAAATTCTGTGGTTGGTTCTGGAGAGTGCGCAAGTGCATCCCAGACGTGTTCGATGGGATTGACTTGTCAAAATTGCTGTGTGGGGTCTGGCATTGTCGTGTTGGAAGATCAAACCGGGTCCATGTGCTGCAATAAAAGGCAGAAGTTCTGGTGCCAGTATCTGGTCACGGTAAGCAGCAGCGTTGAGGTTGCCACGGATGACAAGAAGCCTGGAACGTGCATTGCCACAGAAGGCACCCCACACCATGACACTTCCGCCTCGAAATCTGTCAACTTCCTGTACACAACACTGGGCGTAACGTTCATGACGGCGCCTCCACACCCTCGCCCTACTATCAGCAAACCGAAGATGAAATCGGGATTCATCACTGAAGACGACTTGATTCCAATTCCTCTGAGTCCATCGTAAGTGTCGCTGTGCCCACAATTGACGTTGACGTCTGTGTAATTGAGTCAGAATCGGCCCGCAGTATGGCCGTCGTGCTTGAAGATGAGCAGTTCTCAGGCGGTTTCGAACAGTTTGCGCACTCAGTCTACCCCTAAACAGTTCATTTCTGGTTGATGTAGCCGTCAAAAGTCGGGTACGGAGGTGACGTAAGACAATCTGACGATCTTCTGCATGTGACGTCACACGTGGTCGATCTGGCCGAGGGCGATCAGCGGTGGTACCCGTTTGCTGTAGACGCGTCTGTAAATCATAAACAGTCCGTCGACAACAACCCATCGTCCTTGCGACTTCAGCTACGGACGTTCCCGTCTGCAACATGCCGATGGCACGTTCACGTTGCACATTTGAAAGGCGTGGCATGACAAATGGCCGTAAAGACTTTTGTTTTCTTGTGTTTTTCTTTTTTTTGTTAATGACTGCTAACAAGTATGGCTGAAAACACGTGCGGTATTATGGCCACGTGACCAGTTGCACGTGGAAAAACACTTTTGCCACTATAGTGCTGTGCACATGATTTTGATCGATTCACCTGCACAAAAACGGGTGTTATCTGAAGACAATACGTGGCCATTACTGTTTAAATACACAATAAGGGCTCACAATGATAACTGGTCAAAATGTTAAAATTTTAGGATTGTGAAGTTTGTAATTTGGTTCAGTATATGTGTTTCAGTGTATATTCACGGTGAATTTAGTTATATATTCATCTCATGCTATACACAGGTGTCGGTGTATTGATACAGATGTGAAATACCTCACCCGTAGTAGTGTAGGCCTGTGTCCACCACTAGTCTACATGCTCGGAAGATCTCAGAACTGTAGCGCCCCATCCTTAAACACAAGCCATATTCATCACGCCATACACAAGTCGAACTCATTACGTCAAGCACAGACCGTGTTCATCACGCCAAACACAGACCGTGTTCATTACGCCAAACACAAACCGTAATCATAATGCCAAGCACAGACCGTGTTCATTACGTCAAGCACAGGCCGTGTTCATCACGCCAAACACAGACCGTGTTAATTACGTCAAGCACAAACCGTGTTCATCACGCCAAACACAGACCGTGTTCATCACGCCAAACACAGACCGTGTTCATTACGTCAAGCACCGACCGTGTTCATCACTCCAAACTCAAACCATACCTACAACGCCAAACAAAGACCTTGTTCATCACGCCAAACACAGACCGTGTTCATCACGCCAAACACAGACCGTGTTCATCACGTCAAACACAGACCGTGTTCATCACGCCAAACACAGACCGTGTTCATCACACCAAACACAGACCGTGTTCATCACGCCAAACACAGACCGTGTTCATCACGCCAAACACAGACCGTGTTAATCACGCCAAACACAGACTGTGTTCATCACGCCAAACACAGACCGTGTTCATCACACCAAACACAGACCGTGTTCATCACACCAAACACAGACCGTGTTGTTCATCACACCAAACACAGACCGTGTTCATCACGCCAAACACAGACCGTGTTAATCACGCCAAACACAGACTGTGTTCATCACACCAAACATAGACCGTGCTCATCACACCAAACACAGACCGTGTTCATCACACCAAACACAGACCGTGTTCATCACGCCAAACACAGACCGTGTTAATCACGCCAAACACAGACTGTGTTCATCACACCAAACACAGACCATGTTCATCACACCAAACACAGACCGTGTTCATCACGCCAAACACAGACCGTGTTCATCACGCCAAACACAGACCGTACTCATCACTCCAAACTCAAACCATACCTACAACGCCAAACAAAGACCTTGTTCATCACGCCAAACAAAGACCGTGTTCATCACGCCAAACACAGACCGTGTTCATCACGCCAAACACAGACCGTGTTAATCACACCAAACACAGACCGTGTTCATCACACCAAACACAGACCGTGTTCATCACGCCAAACACAGACCGTGTTCATCACGCCAAACACAGATCGTGTTCATCACTCCAAACACAGACCGTGTTCACTACGCCAAACACAGACCGTGTTCATCACGCCAATCTCAAACCATACCTACAACGCCAAACACAGAACGTGTTCGTACCTCCAGAGAAAAAACGTACTCACCTCTCCAAACATAGGCAGTGTCAACACGCCATACATAAACCGTACTCAAGTCAAACTCAAACCATACCATCATTCCAAACACAGGACGAAATGTCCTGATTGTACATGTATGTAAAACCGTTACATATCATGCACTAATTTAATGTGTAATGCATTGTTTAAAATACAGAAACTGCTGTTAATTTTAACTCCATGGGAAGTAATGATGGGCAGGCTGTATATGCGTTGCCACAGTTGTGACATTTGGTTTTAAGACCAGTCCTACCCGTTCGAAAGCACAAGAGTTTTAAGCATATAACCACTGTTTAAGATGCACACTTACAGTTCGTAGTCGTTTTGGTATAAGTTGAGCTCCTCCCCGAGTGATTCTGCATACAGCGCCCAGCCCTGCAAGGAGTCAGGTAGTGTATGTGCAGAAGCAGAAGCATAGTGTGTATACTAGTTAGTATGTACTCACCGACAAACGAAATGCGAATACCACATAAGTTGGTTAATATATGAAGAATTACTAATTTTGAAGAGATATAAGATTGGTTCAACGCAAAAAATACTTCTACACTTCATATGTACTACCGACAAGAAATGTGGGAACTGATGATTTGATACCGTTTCCCCGACGCGCGAAGATACGGGTAAGAATAGGTCTTCAGCAACCCAACCCATGCTTGTCGAAAGAGACGAATATGCTTGTCGTAAGATGCGACTAACGGGATCGGGTGATCAGGCTCGCTGACTTGGCTGATGCATGTCATCATATCCCATTTGCGTGGATCGATGCTTATGATATCAATCACTGGATTGTCAGGTTCTGACTCGATCATTTATAGATCGCCGTCATATAGGTGGAATACAAACAAACAAACAAGCCATGCTCCCTGGACTCACCTCCCTGTAGGCTGTGTAGAAGGGGAAGTGGAAGGGCACCTCATAATACCGGAAGTACTCGGTGTTGCGCCGGAAGTCGGGCAGATTAGCCTTTAATGCGTAACTGATCTGAAAACAAACTGAAACATGTGTAAAACATCGGTACTCGGCCACTACAATTACATTGAAGTAAGCTGTTCGTGCCATTGTTTAGGTAGACATATATACTCTGGACAACAGCAGCCAACTTTACCTGTAAGTGGTGGCCGGGCACAGACTCGTGCAGTGTGATGGGCACCATGATATACTTCCCTCTGAAAACATACAGCATCGATATGGAAACTCGTAACAGGAGGAATAAACGGTTTTGGAAAACTGTTTATGTGGTTGTGTACGAGCTGAATGCAATCGTAAAGATCCGGGTTAGAATAGGTCTTTAGCAACCCATCCTTGCTATAAAAGGCGACTATGCTTGTCATAAGAGGCGACTAACGGGGTCGGTTGGTCAGACTCGCTTACTTGATTGATGCATGTCACCGTATCCCAAATGGATAAATATTATTAAATAACTGCTTGAGACGCCCAACGCTAACACCCTATTCGTGTATTAGTGTGTGTTTCCCGTGCAACCTTTCGAGTTGAGTTGATTGGTTCAACTGTGTCATATGGCCCTGTGACGCAGGGGTAGCATTTTGCAGATGGCTGTTACAATGAATGCTCGTTCCACCCGTGACGAACAGGTCTGGTTGTTGATGAAATATAGTGATCGCTAAATAGAGATATTTTTTTATTCATGCACCGATTGTCTTTAAATGTAATATCCAGTTATGTATGACTGTTTAATAATCTCATACCAACTTTGGCTGGAGTAGGTCCGATAGTTTTTCAGATATTGTAGTAAACGTCGGTACCTTAAATTACCTTCCAGACTATAGTGTCATCGTAAACACTGCCCTATGTAAAATAGAATTGAGATTAAGAAAGCGGACTTACATTTCGTGGGGTCTATTTACATTGACCTTGAAGATCCCTGGGCGGGATCCATCCTCCGACCCTGACTGGTATTCCCCGGCTGGGCCGTCATACGGCATGGGCTCCACCCTAAACATCCATGTAACTTGATCAACACTTTGTAACAGAACTGATGCGTCACACAACGATACTCACAATGGACATGTAGAACTTACGTAGAGAGATGCTTAATGACGCAGTTGTTGTTATGGTAGTATAAACGCGTTAGACGTGTTACCGCAGAAGAAGATGTTGTAGAGATATTGTTGTAGCAATCGTAAAATAATCATAAACTTCGCGATATGGGACTATTCCAGATAAACGGACACTGACATAAGGCGAAGTAGAGCAAATGACGTTTATAAAGAAATTAATGTAAAGATATTATGAAGACGAAATTGGGTGACTGAAAACCATTGTTTCCAAGTAAGGAGTTGGTCAGTAGCTAACGTTACGCTACATGCTATTATAACTAAAACTAACTTGATAACTAGATTCGACTGTAGCAGTAGTAAGAGTAGTAGAAGTAGTAGTAGTAGTAGTAGTAGTAGTAGTAGTAGTAGTAGTAGTAGAAGTAGTAGTAGTAGTAGTAAAAGAAGAAGAAGAACCAGTAGCAGTGCTAGTAGTGGTCGTCATAGTCAGATATTCGCGGCTAGCGTAGTCGTTGTCTTAGTATTAATAGCTGTAGAAGTAGTGGCAGTAGTAGATAGTAATTATTGTAGAGTAAGCGTAGTAGTAGTAGTATGTAGTAGTAGATGTAGCCGCATTATCTGTCGTAATGGTTATAGCAGCGACTGCAGTAGTAGTAGTAGTAGCAGCAGCGGTAGCTGTAGTAGTAGAACTACAAAATGACAACTTACTTGACAGGTAAATCCGGTAAGTGGTTGAAGACCTCGTGGAGTTTAGGGTTTATTCTTTCATTGATCAACCTGTTATATCCCTCTAAGAGCTCCTCCTGCAGAGAAAGGACAGAACTGGAAACTTACAGGACAACGTCGACTATTGACAAAGGACATATAAGTGTCTACTAAGAGACGGTCATCTCATCAACTGCTAGAGTGAGTGAGTGAGTAAGGTTTTACGCCGCTTTAGCAATATTCCAGAAATATCACGGCGGGGGACACAAGAAATGGTCTTCACACATTGTACCCTTGTAGGGAATCGAACCCGCGTCTTCGGCGTGACGAGCGAATGCTTTAACCAATAGGCTACCCGACCGCCCCTCAACTGCTGGAACAATAGACTGCAATTCTACAGGATGATACGAATAATGTCTACTCCATGATGATGACCGTCAGATTATGACAGCCTACTTTCCTCACCGTAAGTCATTGATAGGTTACTCGTGTTTTAATCGAATGTTCACATACGTCTGTGTTGAACGTTGTAACACCCCCCCCCCCCCCCCATGCCACAGGGACATAATTCATATGTCCGTCCTCTTCAGCCCTCACTTCGAAATCGAACACAATTACATCATGCACATGCACACTGATGCACTTCATTGTTTTCAATTCTGTGGGAAATTCCCTGTTCTGTGATATCATCTACTGTCAATTTAGGCAAACCAACATTATTGAAAATTACCTCTGAAAATTAGAAACCTAGGAAACCTCGTTATTGTTTTATACATTACGACTTCACCATTCAGTGCGTTATTTACTGTACGTTTAGATTATTATCATATAAAGGATAGGTCTCTCGGCGGGATAAAGCCAACGGATGAAAACTATATCCGATGGGGTCATATGCGGATAGAGATGCAAATACAAAAAGTCAAGTACGGGCTACTTTAAGTATTTACAAACAAACATGGCGTCGAGCACAAAAGCGAAGAATGACATTATATGATAAAGAGGTTATCCCGCTTGTGCGTTTGGGGATGGTACATAGTGTTTTTTCCTAATACAGGATATTTACCATCCCCAAACACACTCACGTGACAACCCTTAGATCTATCTAATCGAAGAAATTAATTTTTCAAAAATAGCGTATAAGTGATCACGGGTATTATCACCAATGATAATTCTGAAACGTTGCCGATAAGACGTTTAGAATGTTTTAGACAAGTTGCAAACACGAACGCCGGGGGAACTTTCCGCAAAATTGGATAATGTTTACAAAATCACGTTTCACGTATGCCGGTTATAGACGCTTATAAGATCACGTATATTATATTACTCAGCTGCGATACATACATCCCTGAATTCTTCCTACATTTTAGAATCAATGGAAAAATGATCTTTGTAACCACTACTAATCATCTAGATGAAATCAATGGAAATAAGTTACATTTGGAAACGAACGCTGTGCTAGAAAAATTGTACTTGTTTGAAATACTGTGTAGTATTTTATTTCGGTTTGAGAGATCCATTCCTCTAATTGTTGCATAAATTGGCTCACGTGTTTGAGAATATTCATCAGAAGAGTATCGTAGCACGAATTATGGAATTAAAAACATATATACATTACAATGACCAGGTAAATTGAACAGAAATCGTATAAGTTTCCGCCCTGCGAGACGCCGTGATTGACGCAAACTCACGTACAACGACGACGATATTTATCTGCATTTCGGACTAATTCTCTTGGTTACCATGGAAATCATAGACAAACAGCACGCAGATTGACAGATAGTTTCTGATTACTTACCATTGATCCCTCAATCAACGAAAATCCTCATCTGAAAATCCCGACGTACTGTCAAAGGTGGACACGCCATTTTGAAAAAAGTCGGTCACCAGTAGTAATTGTTGTACATTTTCGGTTATTTCTTTGTGGTGAAACTTATTAACTCGGCATCCAGCGGGTTCATACATATTCTTTCATCTTGTCTAGTATGCATTATCATCATCGTCTTGATATTCCACAGATATGGCGGAAACCTTTCTGTGCAGGGTCATACTATTTATGAGTAGTAAGCGGTCAGTTTGGTGATGTCACTCATGCCTATAGTGTTATGTATTAATGCGCCACAGAGATCATGAGAATAGACAAAATGCATCGATTTGATGCTAAAAAAGTACGAGGCTAGGGTGTGTAAGAAATCGATTACTGCACTCGTGCCTTTCAGGTACTCGAGTATTAATCTCTACCTACAGAAAGAGAGTAATATAGTCTTCTTTGGAGGTCAATGGCGAATACATTAATACATGACTAATGTCTCCTGCTGGAGGCCAATGGTGTATACATCAATACATGACTAATGTCTCCTGCTGGAGGCCAATGGTAACAACAGAGAGAGGAGACTATAGTCTACTATTGGAGGCCAATGGTGTATACATGAATACATGACTAATGTCTACTGCTGGAGGTCAATAGTAACAACAGAGAGAGGAGACTATAGTCTACTATTGGAGGTCAATGGTGTGTATATCAATACATGAATAATGTCTACTGCTGGAGGTCAATGGTAACAACAGAGAGAGGAGACTATAGTCTACTATTGGAGGTCAATGGTGTATACATGAATACATGACTAATGTCTACTGTTGGAGGTCAATGGTAACAACAGAGAGAGGAGACTATAGTCTACTATTGGAGGTCAATGGTGTATACATAAATACATGACTAATGTCTACTGCTGGAGGTCAATGGTAACAACAGAGAGAGGAGACTATAGTCTACTATTGGAGGTCAATGGTGTATACATCAATACATGACTAATGTCTCCTGCTGGAGGCCAATGGTAACAACAGAGAGAGGAGACTATAGTCTACTATTGGAGGCCAATGGTGTATACATGAATACATGACTAATGTCTACTGCTGGAGGCCAATAGTAACAACAGAGAGAGGAGACTATAGTCTACTATTGGAGGTCAATGGTGTGTATATCAATACATGACTAATGTCTACTGCTGGAGGTCAATGGTAACAACAGAGAGAGGAGACTATAGTCTACTATTGGAGGTCAATGGTGTATACATGAATACATGACTAATGTCTACTGCTGGAGGCCAATGGTAACAACAGAGAGAGGAGACTATAGTTTACTATTGGGGGTCAATGGTGTATACATGAATACATGACTAATGTCTACTGTTGGAGGTCAATGGTAACAACAGAGAGAGGAGACTATAGTCTACTATTGGAGGCCAATGGTGTATACATGAATACATGACTAATGTCTCCTGCTGGAGGTCAATGGTAACAACAGAGAGAGGAGACTATAGTCTACTATTGGAGGTCAATGGTGTATACCCGAATACATGACTAATGTCTACTGCTGGAGGTCAATGGTAACAACAGAGAGAGGAGACTATAGTCTACTATTGTAGGTCAATGGTGTATACATGAATACATGACTAATGTCTCCTGCTGGAGGCCAATGGTAACAACAGAGAGAGGAGACTTTAGTCTACTATTGGAGGTCAATGGTGTATACATGAATACATGACTAATGTCTACTGTTGGAGGTCAATCGTAACAACAGAGAGAGGAGACTATAGTCTCCTATTGGAGGTCAATGGTGTGTATATCAATACATGACTAATGTCTACTCCTGACGGCCAATGGTAACAACAGAGAGAGGAGACTATAGTCTACTATTGGAGGTCAATGGTGTATACATGAATACATGACTAATGTCTACTGTTGGAGGTCAATGGTAACAACAGAGATAGGAGACTATAGTCTACTATTGGAGGTCAATGGTGTATACATGAATACATGACTAATGTCTACTGCTGGAGGTCAATGGTAACAACAGAGAGAGGAGACTATAGTCTACTATAGGAGGTCAATGGTGTATACATGAATACATGACTAATGTCTACTGCTGGAGGTCAATGGTAACAACAGAGAGAGGAGACTATAGTCTACTATAGGAGGTCAATGGTGTATACATGAATACATGACTAATGTCTACTGCTGGAGGTCAATGGTAACAACAGAGAGAGGAGACTATAGCCTACCATTGGAGGTCAATGGTGTATACATGAATACATGACTAATGTCTACTGCTGGAGGTCAATGGTAACAACAGAGAGAGGAGACTATAGTCTACTATAGGAGGTCAATGGTGTATACATGAATACATGACTAATGTCTACTGCTGGAGGTCAATGGTAACAACAGAGAGAGGAGACTATAGTCTACTGCTGAAGGCCAATGGTAACAACAGAGAGAGGAGGCTATAGTCTACTATTGGAGGTCAATGGTGTTTACATGAATACATGACTAATGTCTACTGCTGGAGGTCAATAGTAACAACAGAGAGAGGAGACTATAGTCTACTATTGGAGGTCAATGGTGTGTATATCAATACATGACTAATGTCTACTGCTGGAGGTCAATGGTAACAACAGAGAGAGGAGACTATAGTCTACTATTGGAGGTCAATGGTGTATACATGAATACATGACTAATGTCTACTGCTGGAGGTCAATGGTAACAACAGAGAGAGGAGACTATAGTTTACTATTGGGGTCAACGGTGTATACATGAATACATGACTAATGTATACTGCTGGAGGCCAATGGTAACAACAGAGAGAGGAGACTATAGTCTACTATTGGAGGTCAATGGTTTTTACATGAATACATGACTAATGTCTACTGCTGGAGGTCAATGGTAACAACAGAGAGAGGAGACTATAGTCTACTATTGGAGGTCAATGGTGTGTATATCAATACATGACTAATGTCTACTGCTGGAGGTCAATGGTAACAACAGAGAGAGGAGACTATAGTCTACTATTGGAGGTCAATGGTGTATACATGAATACATGACTAATGTCTACTGCTGGAGGCCAATGGTAACAACAGAGAGAGGAGACTATAGTTTACTATTGGGGGTCAATGGTGTATACATGAATACATGACTAATGTCTACTGTTGGAGGTCAATGGTAACAACAGAGAGAGGAGACTATAGTCTACTATTGGAGGCCAATGGTGTATACATGAATACATGACTAATGTCTCCTGCTGGAGGTCAATGGTAACAACAGAGAGAGGAGACTATAGTCTACTATTGGAGGTCAATGGTGTATACCCGAATACATGACTAATGTCTACTGCTGGAGGTCAATGGTAACAACAGAGAGAGGAGACTATAGTCTACTATTGTAGGTCAATGGTGTATACATGAATACATGACTAATGTCTCCTGCTGGAGGCCAATGGTAACAACAGAGAGAGGAGACTTTAGTCTACTATTGGAGGTCAATGGTGTATACATGAATACATGACTAATGTCTACTGCTGGAGGTCAATGGTAACAACAGAGAGAGGAGACTATAGCCTACCATTGGAGGTCAATGGTGTATACATGAATACATGACTAATGTCTACTGCTGGAGGTCAATGGTAACAACAGAGAGAGGAGACTATAGTCTACTATAGGAGGTCAATGGTGTATACATGAATACATGACTAATGTCTACTGCTGGAGGTCAATGGTAACAACAGAGAGAGGAGACTATAGTCTACTGCTGAAGGCCAATGGTAACAACAGAGAGAGGAGGCTATAGTCTACTATTGGAGGTCAATGGTGTTTACATGAATACATGACTAATGTCTACTGCTGGAGGTCAATAGTAACAACAGAGAGAGGAGACTATAGTCTACTATTGGAGGTCAATGGTGTGTATATCAATACATGACTAATGTCTACTGCTGGAGGTCAATGGTAACAACAGAGAGAGGAGACTATAGTCTACTATTGGAGGTCAATGGTGTATACATGAATACATGACTAATGTCTACTGCTGGAGGTCAATGGTAACAACAGAGAGAGGAGACTATAGTTTACTATTGGGGTCAACGGTGTATACATGAATACATGACTAATGTATACTGCTGGAGGCCAATGGTAACAACAGAGAGAGGAGACTATAGTCTACTATTGGAGGTCAATGGTGTTTACATGAATACATGACTAATGTCTACTGCTGGAGGTCAATGGTAACAACAGAGAGAGGAGACTATAGTCTACTATTGGAGGTCAATGGTGTATACCCGAATACATGACTAATGTCTACTGCTGGAGGTCAATGGTAACAACAGAGAGAGGAGACTATAGTCTACTATTGGAGGTCAATGGTGTATACATGAATACATGACTAATGTCTACTGCTGGAGGTCAATGGTAACAACAGAGAGAGGAGACTATAGTTTACTGCTGAGAATGAAGGGTGTCTGCAGGAAGAGAAGAATAAGGTGATGTGAAGTGAGTGATGTGAGTTTGAGTGTCATGGATACCCTTTTCAGACACAGTATACTGACTCCGAGCCCACCAATCCATCTCTGCCCCTTTCAGGCGGAGTGCCAGTCAGGGTAACAACAAGTACTTATTATAGTAACTTGAGAAAATATACCTAAAACGAATTTATTTTGTTCATCCAAATGTAAACAAATTGTTTCTTTAATGAAATCAGTTAATACAAATATTATTTTAAACGAATCGATGTATATTTAGCATGCCATGTCAATTAGGAAGTATTTTGTATCTTCAGCCTTTACTCTTAAACTTTGTAATACATATACTATAGGCCCGTGGCCTTTCCGTATTGAGAATAAAATAGATTGATCGATTGAAAGTACCATCTCTTAATTCCCTGTGGTATGACGCGACCAAGGACGCTTCACCCTTCCTTCCGGTCTTCAGACAGACGCCACGTCCATCAGACCATGAAGGCGGTTCAAGAAGGGAAAGATGTACTGCTGGAGATCAATGGCGACTACGGGAAGGGAAGACTAATGTCTCCTGCGTAATGGTATCTATTGCGAGAGGGGACATGGGACTGGAATAAACTACTAGCAACTGTTGAATGGTCATCAACGTGTGCTAAAATAGAACAAGTGCAGCTTCAGAAAACATGTCTGTTGTTGTATATGCACCAAAACAACTGAGCAATCAGATTACAACAACTAAATGAAAGTCACTCATAGAGAACTTATTACTTGAGTGTGAGGAATATCGCAGATTCCCTAGAATAACAAGTTTTGCCAGTTTGCAACGATCAGTATATTAAGTGATCTTCCCTATGTCGAATAACCCCTGTACACACTGAACATATGGATCTGCTCCCATCATGGAGGTTGAGGGGTCGCTTGACAGGTTCTCAAAAAGGCTTCCTGTAAGACTTCAATATCGAGGGGTGGTAGGTCTGAATGGTAAGTATGTAAGGATTCATTCGATATATTAAGATCCGGTGAGCAAGCAGGTTAGTGTCCGTACATCCTGTTGCTGGAGGTAAGTAGCGACAACCATTCATTGGGTGGTGTGGCATTATCGTTGAAAGACATGTTCACAGTATCTAGGAAATACCTGCATTCAAGCACGCCTGCTGCAGGAGACAGTTTCTGACAGTTTGAAAGCCGACATGGGTATTTGAGAACGTCAAGTGTTCACGTTGTAAATCTACAGCAGTGAAAATGGGTTGTGCTGGGATGGGATATAACGGCATCGGTATTATTTGAAAACCAAAGAAAATGCATTTGATGGAATATGTACGCGTCTATATGAGTTGGCAGTGTATTATATATGACCTTCAAAGAATCATTTATCATGAATGTATAGGTTAAGTCAGTTTTCAGAGCATCTGGTTGTATACTGCTGTATTTGAATAAGTTACCGCTGAATCTGTATGCAGGGAGGTATTGTTCCTGAGAAAAGCAAAGTACTCAGTAATTGACCCTTTGAAGTTCTGCTTCTTCACAATCTGAAATAACAATTGTAACATTAGTTAACCTTCCGTGGTCATTCAACTGCTTGGCTTTAATAGGTAGCTTAGTGCTATTTCGTCATTATAACTATGGTGATCTTCACATCACTATCTGATACACTTGTCTTGCAAATACTCATAGAAGAACAACACATTTGCCCTACATTTTCGCCCCTTGTCCCATCTGCTTCGTATGGATAAGGTTTTCTACGTACCACCCCCTGAAGCCGCTCTCCTCATCTCGAGACACACTACGTACCACCCCCTAAAGCCGCTCTCCTCATCACAAGACACACATCGTACAACCCCCTGAAGCCGCTCTCCTCATCTCGAGACACACTACGTACCACCCCCTGAAGCCGCTCGCCTCATCACAAGACACACATCGTACAACCCCCTGAAGCCGCTCTCCTCATCTCGAGACACACTACGTACCACCCCCTGAAGCCACTCTCCTCATCACAAGACACACATCGTACAACCCCCTGAAGCCGCTCTCCTCATCACAAGACACACTACGTACAACCCCCTGAAGCCGCTCTCCTCATCACAAGACACACATCGTACAACCCCCTGAAGCCGCTCTCCTCATCTCGAGACACACTACGTACCACCCCCTGAAGCCGATCTCCTCATCTCGAGACACACTACGTACCACCCCCTGAAGCCGCTCTCCTCATCACAAGACACAGATCGTACAACCCCCTGAAGCCGCTCTCCTCATCACAAGACACACATCGTACAACCCCCTGAAGCCGCTCTCCTCATCTCGAGACACACTACGTACCACCCCCTGAAGCCGCTCTCCTCATCACAAGACACACATCGTACAACCCCCTGAAGCCGCTCTCCTCATCACAAGACACACATCGTACAACCCCCTGAAGCCCCTCTCCTCATCTCGAGACATACTACGTACTAACCCCTGAAGCCGCTCTCCTCATCACAAGACACACATCGTACAACCCCCTGAAGCCGCTCTCCTCATCTCGAGACACACTACGTTCTAACCCCTGAAGCCCCTCTCCTCTTCACGAGATACACAACGTACCACCCCCTGGAGCCCCTCTCCTCTTTACGAGATACACTACGTACCACCCCCTGAAGCCGCTCTCCTCATCACAAGACACACATCGTACAACCCCCTGAAGCCGCTCTTCTCATCACAAGACACACATCGTACAACCCCCTGAAGCCGCTCTCCTCATTGAGACACACTATGTACCACCCCCTGAAGCCGCTCTCCTCATCACAAGACACACATCTTACAACCCCCTGAAGCCCCTCTCCTCATCACAAGACACACATCGTACAACCCCCTGAAGCCCCCTCCTCATCTCGAGACATACTACGTACTAACCCCTGAAGCCGCTCTCCTCATCACAAGACACACATCGTACAACCCCCTGAAGCCGCTCTCCTCATCTCGAGACACACTACGTTCTAACCCCTGAAGCCCCTCTCCTCTTCACGAGATACACAACGTACCACCCCCTGGAGCCCCTCTCCTCTTTACGAGATACACTACGTACCACCCCCTGAAGCCGCTCTCCTCATCACAAGACACACAACGTACAACCCCCTGAAGCCGCTCTCCTCATCACAAGAAACACATCGTACTACTCCCTGAAGCCCCTCTCCTCATCACAAGACACACATCGTACAACCCCCTGAAGCCCCTCTCCTCATCACAAGACACACATCGTACAACCCCCTATAGCCCCTCTCCTAATCTCGAGACATACTACGTACTAACCCCTGAAGCCGCTCTCCTCATCACAAGACACACATCGTACAACCCCCTGAAGCCGCTCTCCTCATCTCGAGACACACTACGTACTAACCCCTGAAGCCCCTCTCCTCTTCACGAGATACCCAACGTACCACCCCCTGAAGCCCCTCTCCTCATCACAAGACACACATCGTACAACCCCCTGAAGCCCCTCTCCTCATCACAAGACACACATCGTACAACCCCCTATAGCCCCTCTCCTAATCTCGAGACATACTACGTACTAACCCCTGAAGCCGCTCTCCTCATCACAAGACACACATCGTACAACCCCCTGAAGCCGCTCTCCTCATCTCGAGACACACTACGTACTAACCCCTGAAGCCCCTCTCCTCTTCACGAGATACACAACGTACCACCCCCTGAAGCCCCTCTCCTCTTCACGAGACACACAACGTACTACCCCCTGAAGCCGCTCTCCTTTTCACGAGACACACAACGTACTAACCCCTGAAGCCCCTCTCCTCTTCACGAGACACACTACCTATTACCCCTTGAAGTTCCTCTCCTCTTCACGACACACACAACATACTACCCCATTGAAGCCCCTCTCCTCTTCACGAGACACACAACATACTACCCCATTGAAGCCCCTCTCCTCTTCACGAGACACACAACATACTACCCCATTGAAGCCCCTCTCCTCTTCACGAGACACACAACATACTTACCCCTGAAGTTCCTCTCCTCTTCACGAGACACACAACATACTATCCCATTGAAGCCCCTCTCCTCTTCACGAGACACACAACATACTACCCCATTGAAGTCCCTCTCCTCTTCACGAGACACACAACATACTACCCCCTGGAGCCCATCTTCTCTTCACGAGACATACAACGTACTAACCCCTGAAGCCCCTCTTCTCTTCACGAGACACACAACATACTACCCCCTGAAGCCCCTCTTCTCTTCACGAGACACACAACATACTACCCCCTGAAGCCCCTCTTCTCTTCACGAGACACACAACGTACTACCCCCTGAAGCCCCTCTCCTCTTCACGAGACACGAAACATACTAACCCCTGAAGCCCCTCTCCTCTTCGCGAGACACACAACGTACTAACCCCTGAAGCCCCTCTCCTCTTCACGAGACACACAAAGTACAAAGCCAATCTCATCATGTCTCACCTTCTCCATCAGCCCCCACTCCTCAAGCCAATCTTACCATACCTCACCTTTCGCATCAGCCCCCCACTCCTCCAGCCAATATTATCATGTCTCTTCTCCATCCCCCCGACTCCTCAAGCCATTCTTATCATTTCTCACCTTCCGCATCAGCCCCCACTTTTCCAGCCAATCTTATCATGTCTCACCTTCCGCGTCAGCCCCCGCTCTTCCAGCCAATCTTATCATGTCTCACCTTCCGCATCAGCCTCCGCTCTTCCAGCCAATCTGATCATGTCTCACCTTCCGCATTAGCCCCCGTTCTTCCAGCCAGTCTTATCATGTCTCACCTTCCGCATCAGCCCCCGCCCTTCCAGCCAATCTTATCATGTCTCACCTTCCGCATCAGCCCCCGTTCTTCCAGCTAATCTTATCATGTCTCACCTTCCGCATCAACCCCCGTTCTTCCAGCCAATCTTATCATGTCTCACCTTCCGCATCAGCCCCCACTCTTCCAGCCAATCTTATCATGTCTCAACCTTCCGCATCAGCCCCCACTCCCCAAGCCAATCTTATCATGTCTCAACCTTCCGCATCAGCCCCCAGTCCCCAAGCCATTCTTATCATGTCTCAACCTTCCGCATCAGCCCCCACTCCCCAAGCCAATCTTATCATGTCTCAACCTTCCGCATCAGCCCCCACTCTTCCAGCCAATCTTATGATGTCTCACCTTCCGCATCAGCCCCCTCTCCTCCAGCCAATCTTATCATGTCTCAACCTTCCGCATCAGCCCCCTCTCCTCCAGCCAATCTTATCATGTCTCAACCTTCCGCATCAGCCCCCTCTCCTCAAGCCAATCTTATCATGTCTCAACCTTCCGCATCAGCCCCCGCTCTTCCAGCCAATCTTATGATGTCTCAACCTTCCGCATCAGCCCCCACTCTTCCAGCCACTCTTATCATGTCTCAACCTTCCGCATCAGCCCCCACTCCTCAAGCCAATCTTATCATGTCTCACCTTCCGCATCAGCCCCCTCTCCTCCAGCCAATCTTATCATGTCTCTTCTCCATCACCCCTCACTCCTCAAGCCATTCTTATCATTTCTCACCTTCCGCATCAGCTCCCTCTCCTCAAGCCAATCTTATCATGTCTCTTCTCCATCACCCCTCACTCCTCAAGCCATTCTTATCATGTCTCAACCTTCCGCATCAGCCCTCACTCCTCAAGCCAATCTTATCATGTCTCAACCTTCCGCATCAGCCCCCACTCCTCAAGCCAATCTTATCATGTCTCACCTTCCGCATCAGCCCCCACTCCTCCAGCCAATCTTATCATGTCTCTTCTCCATCACCCCCCACTCCTCAAGCCAATCTTATCATGTCTCAACCTTCCGCATCAGCCCCCACTCCTCAAGCCAATCTTATCATGTCTCACCTTCCGCATCAGCCCCCACTCCTCCAGCCAATCTTATCATGTCTCTTCTCCATCAGCCCCCACTCCTCAAGCCAATCTTATCATGTCTCACCTTCCGCATCAGCCCACCGATCCTCTCCACCTCTTGAAGTCCTATCTGATAAACGGTCTCTGGACTCATGGCTGTCGACAGATGCCATTGGAGACACGCCTTGTAATAATTCTGGCCATCATCAAGTGATCCCACTCCCCACCCCTGCCTAGTCCGGGGGAAATAGTCCTACAGGAATAATGAGGGAAACATGTTATCCACAAAATTAAATGTGAGCAAGTAATATATCTTCGTGTCCCAAATGTTTTAGTAACTAAAATTAAGAAAACAATAATGCACACTTTACAGTATCCCGGCTTGTCACTCCTATTTCAAGCAAACGACGTGACTTAAAGACGAGTATACAAACGTTTTGGTGACAATGTTGCTAACTCACTGTTTCCAGGAATGTCTTCATGTCTTGGAATGCCCCAAGTAATCCTTGAATTAACGAATATGCTCTGTCTCGTAGGTCCTTTCTGCAAATTCAACATTAAGTTAAGTATAAATAAACGATCAATGACTGCTCACATTTTACAATCCATGATCTTTCATCTGTGACACCTACTTGATGTAGAGTGCAACCCACCTGACACACTCATGCGAGGTATTGGTGCAGCCTATTTGGCAGTGTTAGCTGGTGTGTTTGAATGCAGCCTACTTGGCAGTGTTAGCTGGTGAGTTTTAGGTGCAGCCTACTTGGCAGTGTTAGCTGGTGTGTTTGAGTGCAGCCTACTTGGCAGTGCTAGCTGGTGTGTTTGTGTGCAGCCTACTTGGCAGTGTAAGCTGGTGAGTTTTAGGTGCAGCCTACTTGGCAGTGTTAGCTGGTGAGTTTGAGTGCAGCCTACTTTCAGTGTTAGCTGGTGAGTTTGAGTGCAGCCTACTTGGCAGTGTTAGCTGGTGAGTTTGAGTGCAGCCTACTTGGCAGAGTTAGCTGTGAGTTCGAGTGCAGCCTACTTGGCAGTGTTAGCGGGTGGAGTTTGAGTGCAACCTACTTGGCAGTGTTAGCTGGTGTGTTTTAGGTGCAGGCTACTTTCAGTGTTAGCGGGTGCGTTTGAGTGCAACCTACTTGGCAGTGTTAGCTGGTGAGTTTGAGTGCAGCCTACTTGGCAGTGTTAGCTGTGAGTTCGAGTTCAGCCTACTTGGCAGTGTAAGCTGGTGAGTTTAAAGGAAGCCTACTTGGCAATGTTACCGGATGGCGTTTGAGTGCAGCCTACTTGGCAGTGTTAGCTACCGAGTTGAGTGCAACCTACTTGTCAGTGTTAGCTGGTGAGTTTGAGTGCAGCCTACTTGGCAGTGTTAGCGGGTGAGTTTGAGTGCAGCCTACTTGGCAGTGTTAGCGGGTGAGTTTGAATGCAGCCTACTTGGCAGTGTTAGCAGATGAGTTTGAGTGCAACCGACTTGGCAGTGTTAGCTGGTGAGTTTTAGGTGCAGCCTACTTTCAGTGTTAGCTGGTGAGTTTGAGTGCAGCATACTTGGCAGTGTTAGCTGGTGTGTTTGAGTGCAGCCTACTTGGCAGTGTTAGCTGGTGTGTTTGAGTGCAGCCTACTTGGCAGTGTTAGCTGGTGTGTTTGAGTGCAGCCTACTTGGCAGTGTTAGCTGGTGAGTTTGAGTGCAGCCTACTTGGCAGTTTTAGCTGGTGAGTTTGAGTGCAGCCTACTTGGCAGTGTTAGCTGGTGTGTTTGAGTGCAGCCTACTTGGCAGTGTTAGCTGGTGTGTTTGAGTGCAGCCTACTTGGCAGTGTTAGCTGGTGTGTTTGAGTGCAGCCTACTTGGCAGTGTTAGCTGGTGAGTTTGAGTGCAGCCTACTTGGCAGAGTTAGCTGTGAGTTCGAGTGCAGCCTACTTGGCAGTGTTAGCTGGTGAGTTTGAGTGCAGCCTACTTGGCAGTGTTAGCTGGTGAGTTTGAGTGCAACCAACTTGGCAGTGTTAGCTGGTGAGTTTGAGTGCAGCCTACTTGGCAGTGTTAGCTGGTGAGTTTGAGTGCAACCTACTTGGCAGTTTTAGCTGGTGAGTTTGAGTGCAACCTCCTTGGCAGTGTTAGCTGGTGAGTTTGAGTGCAGCCTACTTGGCAGTGTTAGCTGGTATGTTTGAGTGCAGCCTACTTGGCAGTGTTAGCTGGTGTGTTTGAGTGCAGCCTACTTGGCAGTGTTAGCTGGTGTGTTTGAGTGTAGCCTACTTGGCAGTGTTAGCTGGTGTGTTTGAGTGCAGCCTACTTGGCAGTGTTAGCTGGTGAGGTTGAGTGCAGCCTACTTGGCAGTGTTAGCTGGTGTGTTTGTGTGCAGCCTACTTGGCAGTGTTAGCTGGTGAGTTTGAGTGCAACCTACTTGGCAGTGTTAGCTGGTGTGTTTGAGTGCAGCCTACTTGGCAGTGTTAGCTGGTGAGTTTGAGTGCAGCCTACTTGGCAGTGTTAGCTGGTGTGTTTGAGTGCAGCCTATTTGGCAGTGTTAGCTGGTGTGTTTGAGTGCAGCCTACTTGGCAGTGGTAGCTGGTGAGTTTGAGTGCAGCCTACTTGGCAGTGTTAGCTGGTGTGTTTGAGTGCAGCCTACTTGGCAGTGTTAGTTGGTGTGTTTGAGTGCAGCCTACTTGGCAGTGTTAGCTGGTGAGTTTGAGTGCAACCTACTTGGCAGTGTGAGTTGGTGAGTTTGAGTGCAACCTACTTGGCAGTGTTAGCTGGTGAGTTTGAGTGCAGCCTACTTGGCAGTGTTAGCTGGTGTGTTTGAGTGCAGCCTATTTGGCAGTGTTAGCTGGTGTGTTTGAGTGCAGCCTACTTGGCAGTGGTAGCTGGTGAGTTTGAGTGCAGCCTACTTGGCAGTGTTAGTTGGTGTGTTTGAGTGCAGCCTACTTGGCAGTGTTAGCTGGTGAGTTTGAGTGCAACCTACTTGGCAGTGTGAGTTGGTGAGTTTGAGTGCAACCTACTTGTCAGTGTGAGTTGGTGAGTTGAGTGCAACCTACTTGTCAGTGTGAGTTGGTGAGTTTGAGTGCAACCTACTTGGCAGTGTGAGTTGGTGAGTTTGAGTGCAACCTACTTGGCAGTGTTAGCTGGTGAGTTGAGTGCAACCTACTTGTCAGTGTGAGTTGGTGAGTTTGAGTGCTAGATTCGGAACAGTACTCACTTGGCAGTGTCAGAAAAGGGGAATTCGTCTAGAAGACCTGTAAAAGGTTCATAAAATGGCGATTCCTCCGGGCGGACAAGCAGTCGTTCTATTTGTGCAGGTACTCGAATCTGTCAGGAGACATACATATATTGCAGAGTATGACCAATAGGCAAAATATAAGTACTGATGAACCTAAACTATCATTTCTTGCCTATAACTAAGATTACATAATCATAAATGTCAGACGATGCATGGACACGTTATACTTACAACGGAGACATTGTGCATGGTATGGTTGATTCCGATCGCTGTTCGATACAGGTCCTGATATTCAGCTAACTGTAAGATGGAGACGAAAGCATGGCAGCGAATGCGTATGTTGGTTCACGGCAACAATAGCAAAACTTCTTGTCATTGGCCCAGGTCAGATAAATAGGAAGTTAAAAGAATTCGGTTAAAAATTACACCTTAATGACGTTTGTTACGTCAACTTTCCATTCTACAGATCGCTAACATACTGATGCTGCTATTGAAGCTGATGTCATGTCTGACAGTGTTTCTATTCTACAGATCGCTAACATACTGATGCTGCTATTGAAGCTGATGTCATGTCTGACAGTGTTTCTATTCTACAGATCGCTAACATACTGATGCTGCTATTGAAGCTGAGGTAATGTCTGACAGTGTTTCCATTCTACAGATCACTAACATACTGATGCTGCTATTGAAGCTGATGTCATGTCTGACAGTGTTTCTATTCTACAGATCGCTAACATAATGATGCTGCTATTGAAGCTGAAGTCATGTCTGACAGTGTTTCTATTCTACAGATCGCTAACATACTGATGCTGCTATTGGAGCTGATGTCATGTCTGACAGTGTTTCCATTCTACAGATCGCTAACATACTGATGCTGCTATTGGAGCTGATGTCATGTCTGAGAGTGTTTCCATTCTACAGATCGCTAACATACTGATGCTGCTATTGGAGCTGAGGTAATGTCTGACAGTGTTTCCATTCTTCAGATCGCTAACATACTGGTGCTGCTATTGGAGCTGAGGTAACGTCTGACAGTGTTTCCATTCTTCAGATCGCTAACATACTGATGCTGCTATTGGAGCTGATGTCATGTCTGACAGTGTTTCAATGTGTTCCCATGACCTCCTTATGACAACATACTTGCAATGGGGTATTCTCAAGTCTGACAAGGAAGTTTTCATAGTCGCCTCGTGTGAAGAAAGGCGTGGCCTCCACGTGGTGAACTGGGTCCACGTGTATTCCCTCCAGGAAGTTCAAAGGATTGATTGACCCATATCTGAATTCCATGGACGAATACTTTAGTTACAGTCATATCAGGCAATAAATTACAGTAGGTTGTGTATATTTAACCATTGAAAACTATTTCAGCGGAATAATATATCATGAAGAGTGCTATGAAAGACAAGCCGATACATTATATCACCCTCAGATAATGCAGCGGTAGGAACAGTGAGGGTAATTTTATGGTAGATTGTGAACACAGAATCTACAAACTGTAGTTCAAAAGAAATTAGTACAATTTTCTTGATTCCCGTTTGTAAAAAGCGTGTGATTGCACATTAGTCTAATTTATTAAACTCTCTGAATAAATTATGTCCATTATGTCCATTGACTAAACTGTTATCTTATTCAAACAAATGCATGAGATCATGACAGCGAAACCCAACCGAAGTGTGCACGTAACACCCACCTCCTCCATCTGTAGCCTTCCAGGTAGGTCTCAAGCACATCCTTCAAGATGCGGTAATTTATCCTGTCCGTCTTACACAGCTCTGAAGCATCAATAGTTTCTAAATCCTCTTTAAACATGTCTGCTATTTCCTAAAACAAAACACCAGGTGCATGTTAACACGATAGTATTACTGAATCTATTCCAATAATGGCATCGCATCAAGTACTTTTCTGTGTGTTCAATGATTTGCACGGGTAGATGATTGAGTGAAGAAAAAACAATTACTTTAAAAGGACACACTTACTTTTCTTTCGTCCATTCGGGCGAGACTGAACGCCTGCAGCCTGTCGTTAAAGCGATATGTGCCAGAGTAGGTGGCGAACTCGGGCGAATCCTCCAGCCGCCAGTCGTAGAACTCCTGTAGGAGAAGATGGAGGGAGGTGGTGGCATCGCCTGGATACAGACACATACTAGGAGTCAAACCTCACAACTGATACTACTTGATGACCAGACTCTTCTTGGAAGCTTATATATGGTCTGTACTGCAATCAGATTCGGAGTATTTTTTATGCAGTTTCAAACTGTGCTGCTGTTCGTGAAATGAATTAAAACAGATGTCAAAATCCTTTTATGTTTTGTTTATGTTTCTCAAATAGTTCCTTCTCGTATGGCCCCTCAGCACGTTCCGACAGCTTCTTCAGGTCACAGAGTAGCCAGCCAGTATTCTCTCTAAACTAAGCAATAGTTATACGTGTTTCTTGAAGTGACATTGAGAAGTTGACATGATGAACAATGGAGATAGTTCTATGGATATACAACTTCTTTATTAAATGATGCTTTCAATGCAATACAGCAGGTGTACATCCATACACCTATCTCCCTTGCTCAGTTATACTTGTTGTCTGAAACTCGTTTGGTGTTTCAGTATGGCGTAATGCAGTTTGTTTTCATTATGAATACTTGTGCCAGTCTGTATTCCAGATCATGATATTTGATGCAAATTTGGATTGGATTGGGTGACTCCGAGAGTCCGACAGTCATTTACACGTGACGTCTACGGAATGGTTACTTACCTCGTACAAACATGTGTAAGGCCATGTGAGACATCAGAAACACCATCGGTAATCTGAAGAATGCAATACACATAAGGCATATATTTTAACAATGACATTGCAGCTTGGTTTCTTTTAAAGGCAACTATCATGTCGTTATCAAAAAGAATGTCAGTACCGAGAAATATTTGAATACGTAAGGTCTGAATACGTTTCGAATAACCATCGACTCGGTTGAGATGCATCTCATCTTCAACATTACAGTTGATGAGTATCACTTTATACCTGTTTGTCCATTGTATACTGATATGAACAAAAAACTTTTGTATCAATGAAAAACATTTTGTTAAACCTAATATTCACACATTCCACGTATGAACGACAACCAACAGTTGTGTGTGTAATTATTAAAATATTTTGCCGTTTACGATTAAATTTGGGTTTATTCAAATTGACTGTTAAGACATTGCCCTATCACTCAATGTTTCAGGTTCAACAAAGCGTTCGCCTTTTATTTGGTCATGCCAAAATGAGTATACACCTACGGGCCTTACTTGAACAGTATTTAATCAACGAAACAAATTATCAGTTTTCATCTTGTTAGGAATGCAAAATGAGCCTCCCTCCTCAGGACCACACAAAGCGTGCAATATTGACCTGACAAACGACGGAAACAGTGGTAGTTAGATAGAAATATTGTGTGTAAAATGCAATGTTCCTTTCTGAGGTGTGAAGATGAATGGAAATGTGTTGTGAAGATAACCACCAGTCTGAGATTCTTGTAAGGACGTTTACCTTGATATCTGATTACAAACTTAAACATCAGTTCCTGAAGGATAACATCAAGTGGTCTTATTGCAGCCTGCAAGTTCTATACATGAGCAGATTTGTGTGGCAGCCAGAAGGGTCGGCGCTGGGAAACGACTGTGGCAATGGCAGTGCCTGCTCTCCTAGAGGAGGACCTTGAGACTGCGACAGGTGGGCAGAAAGAGGTGAAACGGTAAGAGTCGCGCATTCACCTGTACATACCGGATGTGACGCAACCCAACACAGCTGGTTACATCACTTGTAATAGATCCATTACAGTGAGTGCGAGAGGATGAAGAGAGTAACCAGCTCATCTTCCAATCCTAGGTTTTGAAGAGGTTCTCTTCCAAAGCTTGGTTTTGAAATGGGTCACTTCTAAACCTGCTTTGAGGTTTTACATTTCAATACCTAGGTTTTACAATTGGCGTTTTAAAAACTTGCCACTTGATATGAACACAATTGTGTTTGATGATTGGTTAAAAGTCACACATTTTGTTTATTTGAAAATTCCGTGACTTGAATCGAACCTGCAACTTTACATATCGTATTAAGGTTTGTCACAACTGGGCCACTGGGACAGCTGATGAGGTGTTGTTCAATGTATCATGTCATGACTCTAGCTAGTCCATGCTGCACGTGGTTTTTCTCTCGCACGCTTTGATTGAAATCCTTTTATATCGCGACACACTGTATTGTTTTACTATAAGTTATGTCGATGTATTCTTATTTTCTCTGGTACTTCCTGCATTTAGACGGTTTTTAAGTTGAATACAACACACCTCCGAGGTTTTGGTTGAAAAAATAAAACATAGAGCTCGGTTCTTTATTTTTAAGCTCGCGGTTTTACATTTTCAACCAAAACCTCGGAGGTGTGTTTTATCCTATACATAACAGTGAGTGAGTTGTGTTTAACGCCTCTTTTAACATTATTCCAGTTATATCACGGCGTGTCAGCTTAATGTGGGAGGAAAGCACGAAGTGATGCAGGTCCCAGACGTTTACAACTTTGGTGAAACCCACGAGCACGGGTATGGTGCTGACAAACCTAGAAACATAATCGGGGCGAACCGGGATTCGAACCCACAATCATAGGTTTCTGGCGGGACGCAACTCTGCACAGCGAAACGCGGCGCCTGAGACGACTGGGCTCCCCGTGCCCCCCTATACATAACAGTATGCTTCTGGGACCAATGGACACACCCTAACAATAATGCTCATTTTTTGCACAAAGTGTTAAAGGATTCTTTTTTAAATAATATAAAGTAATATTATATTCATACCACACCTTTACAAGGTATGTGGAAGGGTATATAGGAAACGGGTGCCGTCTGTCCGTAAAACATCCTTACAAGCTGTATACCAACCCAATATCAGTGGACCGCCTCCGCGGTCTAGTGGTAATGCGTCCGCCCGGAGAGCAAAAGACGTTAATAGATGTTACTTGTTGTTACCCTGCCTGGCGCTCGGCATTAAGGGGCTAAAACAAGGACAGATCGGCTCGGAGTCAGTATACTCTGTCTGAGCTGGGTAGTCATGTTAAACTGCGGCATAGTATCTCAGTGGGTTAGCATATATAATCGGCAATGGTCCGGACTAGTAGAAGCAACCAAACACACACACACTTGCATGCACGTCGCCATGTAAGTGCAATAATCTTGAGCACGACGTTAAACCCCATTTCACCTCCCAATGTCATCATCGTTCGATAATACATATATTCTGAAATTAAATGATTAATCTTTCCATACATATTAATGAAGACATCTCCTCCAATTTAAGGTCGTGATTCACAATTTGCACGTGCGCGTTAAATGCACGGCGCACAGTTTGGAGGTTTGCCTGTCTGTTGGGAGCATGATGCTGATACACCGTAAATAACGCTTTCGCAATGCCCCGGCTTCCTGAAAAGCAACGTCTACGCGCCGTGGAGGGTATTGCTGCAGACATGTTTACATTACCATCTACAGCAGGGCAACACTCATGACTTACCGCGAGCCGGTCGTCAACGTGTGACGTCACGTCAACAAGACTACCATATTTCGTTGGTGCATCTATGGAATCTATACCAAACTTCTACATTAACAGCTCCTGGTTTGAAACTAATAAGTGTCAGAACCGTACGCAGCCGATGGCTCTGATGGTCGTGCAAGGGTTTACAGGCGTCGAGGAGAACGTTTCACCGACGCTTGCGTTACCCAAAGTTTTCAGTTTGCGGATGGAAGTGTAATGCTATTGGATGGCGTCACTACTCATGGGAGATCACAACTCATCATCGTTTATGTCAAACTTGAGTGACGTCCGCTACCGGGAAGACATCGTTCGAGATCCCGTTCTACCCTTCGTGCAAATGCAGGGACGTAACGTCACAGCAGGAGAATGCCCGCCAACACCAATCTCTGATTGATCGTGCCTTCAATGCAACGCCGCTGCCTCACCCGTTTCAACGCAAATAGTCACACCCGATATTGACATTGTTGATTGAGGTGTCACACCACCCCTCTTTAGGGCGTGTCGCTCTGTCTCCTGTTGCCAGGTATGGGTTTCGTCAATGAATGTCTTATGATAAAACATTGACCAGACGAATGACCAAATAGTATGTTGCTATTTTAAATAACAAAACAACTACACCACTTTGCATGAAGCACAGTTAAACTGTTTTTCGCTTGTTTATTTAAAGTGATGCATATGCTCAATTAGTATTTCAAATATTAATAGATATTACGGTTCGTTTGCAACTTTTCATTTTTTAAATTTAAAGATTAGCGTTTGGGCAAAGATAATTTTGAACTTTTTCTTTATTTTGTTATAAAGGCTTTTGACAGTCAAAATATATATACTGAACCAAATTAAAAACTTCACAATCCTAAAATTTTAACATTTTGACCAGTTATCATTGTGGGCCCTTATTGTGTATTTAAACAGTAATGGCCACGTATTGTCTTCAGATAACACCCGTTTTTGTGCAGGTGAATCGATCAAAATCATGTGCACAGCACTATAGTGGCAAAAGTGGTTTTTCATGTGCAACTGGTCACGTGGCCATAATACCGCACGTGTTTTCAGCCATACTTGTTAGCAGTCATTAACAAAAAAAGGAAAACACAAGAAAACAAAAGTCTTTACGGCCATTTGTCATGCCACGCCTTTCAAATGTGCAACGTGAACACGCCATCGGCATGTTGCAGACAGGAACGTCCGTAGATGAAGTCGCAAGGACGATGGGTTGTAGTCGACGGACTGTTTATGATTTACAGACGCGTCTACAGCAAACGGGTACCACCGCTGATCGCCCTCGGCCAGATCGACCACGTGTGACGTCACATGCAGAAGATCGTCAGATTGTCTTACGTCACCTCCGTAACCGATTTTTGACGGCTACATCAACCAGAAATGAACTGTTTAGGGGTAGACTGAGTGCGCAAACTGTTCGAAACCGTCTGAGAACTGCTCACCTTCAAGCACGACGGCCATACTGCGGGCCGATTCTGACTCAATTACACAGACGTCAACGTCAATTGTGGGCACAGCGACGCTTACGATGGACTCAGAGGAATTGGAATCAAGTCGTCTTCAATGATGAATCCCTATTTCATCTTCGATTTGCTGATGGTAGGGCGAGGGTGTGGAGACGCCGTCATGAACGTTACGCCCAGTGTTGTGTACAGGAAGTTGACAGATTTCGAGGCGGAAGTGTCATGGTGTGGGGTGCTTTCTGTGGCAATGCACGTTCCAGGCTTCTTGTCATCCGTGGCAACCTCAACGCTGCTGCTTACCGCGACCAGGTACTGGCCTTTTGTGGCAGCACATGGACCCGGTTTGATCTTCCAACACGACAATGCCAGACCCCACACAGCAATTTTGACAAGGACTTTCCTTCAGAATGCCGGAGTCAACGTCATGGACTGGCCGTCAAGGTCTTCCGACCTCAATCCCATCGAACACGTCTGGGATGCTCTTGGCAGAAGTCTGCGCACTCTCCAGAACCAACCACAGAATTTGCAAGATCTTGGCACCATTTTGCAGCAACAATGGCGTCGTCTTCCCAATCATGTGTTCACAAGCATCACAAGGTCCATGCGGAGGCGTTGTGGAGGCGTTGTTGTCAACGCACATAGTGGCCATACACACTACTGAACTTGTGTGTCATCAGATTCTCGTGCTTGGGACTTATGATTTAAATTGTTGATGTTATTACCGAATACCGTAGGTGCTTGGAACAAATTATGGTTACCACCGTTAATTAAAGGCCTTCTTTGGACATTAATGA